TAGTGTGTCCAACGTGTGATGAACCCCATATCCGGTCTCCATCTTCAACAAAACTCATAAAGATATAAACAATAATTTATAAAAAACAAGTTCTCGTATTAAAAAAAAACAAAATATCGAAAAAATTAAATCAATGGAACTTAAGAGGAGTGAAGTGGCACCCATAACCAGCACACAGGCAAAGATCAGGCCCACAAGCTGCCTCTCATCTATTTACTCAGCTGATGAACCTTTTATCTGAGGTTTTGTATTGTATCCTTGGTATATTGAATATTTTTGACACTCTCTTACATCGAAATTCCTTTTTTATTGCATCAGCAGTCTGTTCTAACCAATGACGGCTAAATAACTAGACTGTCTGACGGGTCATACAGTTCTAACGTTTTAGGAGTGTAATTCAAATAGTAACGACTCCTTAGTACTTTTTGTACTTCCTAGACATCTTACGGACCTGCAATACATTCGTCAAATTATCGATATATTGTTTTGAAAACCTGTAAGATGAAATATTCCAGAAAATACCCACGAAACGAACTGTTTTTTTTTTAGTCCCAGAGCTCTAGCCTATGAAGCTATCTGAAATCTATTGATACCAGATTAACAGAAGATCCTGAAGAACTGTTAGGCGAAGTCACGTCCATTTTGCATTTAACAGCTGGGAAATGAAAATTGTTTTTAGATTTTTCAAGAACTCATGGCAAAGTTGCAAAGTAATCCCGTTTTACGGTATTCAGGTTCAAGATAGATTTGATTGATTGATTTTGCCATCTTACCCGGACTATCAGGCAAAGATGCCTTAACATTACCGGAAGAGATGTCCAACACGTATTGATATGACTCACAATCAAATTAACACAACCGCTGCTCAGCTGTAAAGTTGTCTTGGTGATCATACAAGGTCGTATCAATTTCAAAAGGAACAAACAGATTGGAAGTTTGTTTATTATCTAAATGCATATTCAAATTCAAGACAAACAAAAATTGATTTTGCTATCCCGGACTGTCAGGAAAAGATGCCTCAACCCTCAACATTACCGGGAGAGATGCCCAACCTGTATTGATGACTCTCAATCAAAATAATACAACCGCTTAGTTGTGAAGTTCTCTTGGTGATCAAAAAAGGTAATAATTTCGATAGGAACAAACAGATTGGAAGTCGATCAAAATTTTTGGGATATCCTCTTCTCCTCTCTATAAATAGATTATTAGTATTATTGTTTCTATGTATACTTGCAAAAAGAATAAATCAGATGATTTGCTATACTGTGCTTGAAATATCCTTATTAAAGACATAAAAAAACATTCAGTAGATAATCAGTGACACATCATTGTTTGAAAAATATTTGAAGTATAGAACAGGTAATTGAAGAGTTCGAAATTTTACTTATTTTTAGACATCCAATCTGCTCGCGTTTTCAACAGTATATCTAGAGCTATGATGTTTGTGTTAGATATAAATTTCAGTTCAAGTAGAAATTTCGACTTCGATTTATATCTACGGCCGATCAAAGACTTAAAAAATGCACCCACAATAACAAAAAACGAATTTTCACGTAATTATTCAATTGGCGAAATATGATGAATGTTGTTTTGAAAACATGTGCATATTTTCACTGATTCAACTATATAGAGCATCTTCTCCAGTAGATTGTTATAGATTTCCCAATCAAAAATTGATTTGAACAGCTAGATATATCAACATGACGAATCTGTATTTTTTCGACGAAAATTTATTTCGGATAAACGTTTGGATGATCTGGCAACGTTGCGTGAAACGGTTAAAGTTTATCCTCCGGCCCCCCAGTTACCTGACCGAAGAAAGCAGGAGTAAAGAAAAAGAAAACATGCGAAGAGAAAGGGACGCGAAAGTTCGATTATCTCACCCTCCTTTTTTGGGTGAGGACCCCTTTTGTCTCAAACAGACCAAGGAATTCTATGGCACCTATGGCAACGGAAGGGGGTCATGCCAATACTAATACTCAGTGTTTCAACTTGTAATTTTTTTCATTGACTTCATGGAATTTTAATTTTTCTTCACCGGAGTATGAGGAATTATTTCCTTAATGTGACCGGAGGATACCCATCTCACTGATTGGAAGAAAGAACAAGGACAGTCAATTTATTTTGTTTGTAGGTGGTTTTTCCTGTTTTCCTTTTTTATCTGCTATAGATGTTATAAGTATTGCATGGTATTACCAGAGTATTGCGCAAGTATACCTCCTGTAGTCCAGCGTCAGCGAGTCAGTACGAGACATACTTATAGGTACCTATTTCAAGACGACATAGGCACCGAACATAAACAGTCACTGTTTATGTTCGGTGACATAGGTAAATCCCAATAAACAATGAACAACCGGGAAGTTATTGGCCCAATGCTTTCTTTGCTGGGGAAATGACTTCAACGGCAAAAATCTGTTGGCCTTTCACATTCTTGTAGTCCATTTGCCAGTGGAGCGAATAGAGGTATTGGGCCTTCATCGTTTCATTGACTTTGGTGTTGGTGTTTGGTTTGGTGTTGCCGGGAAAGACAACAACAACCATGCCATATGTTCCAGATAAACATTAATTTTGCTCAAGAGTAAAGTATCTTCATTTTCTAGAATAAAATATACAAAATGGATAGGTAGGCAGTTAGGTATAGGTAGGTATAGATAGTACTGGTAGTAAGGAGGTCCAAAACTCCAAAGTCCAAACTGGTAAAGTGATAAGTAACCAATAAAATGAAACATCCGTCCTCCACTAATAGTAGGTATTCAAATTACTGCAATATCTAACAAATCTCAGTTTGTGAGTTACACAGCAGAGTATGTTTGAATTGGTCCGAAAGGCAAATACATATTTCATTCAATGAATCGGTTGATACATTTCAGGTGGGTCGTTGATCTGTTCGGCTGTTAATATCGTTAGGTACGGCATCATGAAAAGAAATGAGATGAAATAAAGTGAAGATAAATTATAAGTGAATTGAAATTATTGATTTCAGGAAGAAAAAGTATGTGTTTATAGTTGAACAATGGAAACAATTATTTTTGCATAAACTAATCCGGCGTTCTGATGTGTACTGTTATCCATTCGCTATATATTCGCATGCCGAGTTGCTTCGCAGATGTTTTGGCACGCGCCAGCTGCTACCGATAGATAATACTTTTATAACAAAGTTTACTGCTTGCTTGTAATGATTATTTTCCCGTTTGGAAGTATGAGGGTCTTTTGTCTCTCTCTTTTGTGGGAAACCAAATAAAAAAATACAATGAACTATAAGGTGAACACATTTGAAGTGAATTATCATAAAATTACCCGTATCAATATTCCAGAGAGAAGATATGAAGTAGCCCTATCTTAGGCCTTGGTATCATTCACTCTTGAAGTCACAACTGAACAAAAATTCAGATTTCCTGATTTTTTTGTTACGAGATATTATTACTGAAACGTAATATATCAATCAACGATGAAACTGAGAAGTCATGAGGTCAAATCAAAGCAAATATACTTCATTGTCAGAAGAAATGAGATTATCATCGACAAAGTCATCATACTCAGAAATAAGAATTGTAAAACATTAAGGTGTAATACACAAATAACAATTTCGAGATATTCTCAACCTAAGAAACACATAACATTGATATAAATAATATATAAAATAGATTAAAAAGTATATATACAAAAAATGTAGGCATCAAAATGGAAGGTAGAAGAGTTAAAATGTTCTCTCTGTTCTCTCTCCAACAAAATATTCCTTACAGAACCTTTAAATTCCTTGAAATTAGTCAGCATTTTGATCTCGTATGACAAATATGATTGGATAATTATTTCCCATTATAAAAGAAGGAGTATTTGATTTGAGTAGTAGATGGTATTTATTGTGAATAAGACACACTGTCTCCAAAATGAATATTTTATGTTGAATAAACAAAGGCTTACAAAAATCTCTAAAATTAATTTTACATAAATACCTTACTGCTCTCTTTTGTAACACAAATATCATATCAAATAAAAATTGACTGCAAGACCCCAAAAACAAATTCCATATCTGAGAGTCGATAAGACCAAAGTATACCATTTTCGCCAAATCTTTACCAAGTTCCCGAGATGTTGATCTAACTGCAAACTACCAGAGGCTAACTTTTTCCTCAATTTGTCAATATGCTCTTCAAACCTTGATTTATCGTCAATGTGTGAACCCTGCGAAATTTTTTTTACAGACTTATTTCTTATGACTTGATTATCAAGAAACAATTCTTGCAAGTTGCAATGAAAAGTGAGGATGTTCGTTTTCGAAATATTCAATGAAAGCATATTGGAATCACACCACTCTTTGACTCTTGTAATATCATCAAGAATAACAAACTGTGTGAATTTTCCTCGAATATCAATAGTTGCTAAATCATTTATATAGAGCAGAAAGAGAACTGGGCCCAGCACTGACCCTTGAAGTACTCCACACTTAACTTCTAATTTCTCCGACACAATATTATTGATGGATACACTTTGAGGTCGTCCAGACAAATACGACTAAAACCATTGTAGGACTATATCACTAAAAAAATATCTGTCCAATTTTTTCAGCAGAATTTTGTGGTTTACGCAATCGAACGCCTTCGTCAGATCACAAAATACTGCTGCGGCAGCTTTTCTATCATTGAGTTTGAGATAGACATGTTGTCACAGATTGAACATTGCATCACCTGTACTTTTTTCACTCTGGAACCCAAACTGAACACAATTAATAATCCTATGCTCACTTAAGAAAATCATGATTCTCTTCAAAGAGAATTTAGGTGAACATATGAGGTGAACAAATATATGACTACTATTTCGCTTTGAAGTTTGAATTAAAAACATTACAGTTCCTTTGGGCTTACAGCTTTTGGTTGCCCTGTCTACTATATATAAAAATAATTGAAAATAAAATTTATACATTTTTGAACATTTGAAAACTTCGAGCCCTGTACTGCAGATCCCCTTCTGAAAAGTTTTCATGAATGGAATCCCGTCATCAATACGTGTTTCCATGACTACCACGAAAAGTGTTGTCATCGTATTATTCTCGTTTGACAGTGACATGTACTATGGTTAGGAGAACACTGAAAATTACCGTAACAAAACTAGAACTTATGACCGCGGAAAATCCTCAGTGATGGAACTCATTTCTTCACCAAATCCCCATTTTATACCGGGGTAATGCGACGAATACCACAGGAGTTCATCACAAGGTAGGTACCAACTGTTCCATTTTTCAGCTACACCGGTTTCTGTCCTCAATACAAGTACCGTCTAGGAGACACTTATGGTACCACCACGCATAAGGTACTGTTGGACCCCACTGTGCACCATGCAGAAAAATTGGTTCTTTCGGATAGAACGGGGTGTGACTACCAGGTAAGTACGAAATGTTCTCTATTCCAATTTAATACCTATACATATCCATTGTATAGGGTCATGGTACAAGACTTGGCAAAAAATGATGAATGTGTTTGTACACTAGGAGTATATACTAATGAAATACCTGAATTTGCAACCATTTTGTCAGAGATGCAAATTGCAGCAATGCAGGAATTCGATTAGGACTCCAAAATGAACATAATCACCAAGTTCAATCTCTTGTACTGACCTATCGCAAGTTCACCAAATTATTGTTTTTATTGAAGTTTTTCTTTGTTTAAGACTTTTAGACCAGCGACAAGAGAAATAGATATAGTGAACGAAAGACATGGAGATACTATCTACAAACATCCTATGATTCCAGGATATGAAGGTTTATTATTATAGCGAATATACCGTATAATGATCGATGGTTAGACGTAATCAATAATGATAATATTGATACAATCAACGCCTATCTCATGTGATTTTCATTTTAACAAATTCCATGCGACACAATCATTCATCAAATTTCAGAAATTCCAAATTAACATGCTACTACCCAGGTGGCGTATGCAGTTAGTAACAACACATTACCACTACTACTCGTTGTCCAATATTATTACATTATTATTTTTATTTATTTACGTTCAATCATCGTCGATCACGTGACACGTATTCACGTATGGCTGAACGTTTCTCCAGGATTTGTGCCGAAAGAACATGGAAAGTTTGGTCAAAGATATACGGTGCAAGCAATAGAAGCACTTTCTGAGTTCGAAAAATCCCAAATGGCTGACAGGGAAGCACAAAATCAGATTACGAAAATTGGATATTTGCAGGATAATCGATGGGATCCAAAAACATTGGAAGAAAAAGAAGTGATTTTTATTAATTATTATTCTATTGGAAAATATTATTTGGTATTATTTTCAGTTGGCTCAAAGCCAGTTCAAACTGCCTTTGTTGGAGGTGAGACCCGAATGTGGGGGGTTTATGAGAAATTTACCGGTTGACGAACCTCCTATTACACCTCCTAGACAATCTCACAGCCCATATTTCTCGGATAATATCGATCCAGAAAAATACTTGAAATCAGGTAAATCCCACAAAATGTATTTTTATACAGAAGTCGATAGATTGAGTCAATCAATCAATATCTAAAAAACATGTCATTTATGTGTGGCAACTCTGAATGAAGAGTTTTTTTTTCGAAATGGACATCAAAAATGGCTACACCCCTTATATTCTTGACAACTTGACATTCATTGTCAAATCTTATTTCAAAGTTGACATTACATGGATTATGGGTTGTGAATTTTGTAATTCTGTAGTAGAAAACAAGTCATGAAAGATGTATGATCGATTGTATAATTCTTTTCTTCAACAACAAAGATACACATGTGGACTAGGAAAACGTAAGTAAGGATATTACCGTGAATCTATGATTATTTCCCTATTTATTCCATATTATTTGGGATTTCTCTTTTCGTCTCTATAAAATAAAAATATCAATATTATTTCATTAAACGTGTAGTAAGAAAAAATGTAACTGCGTTTAAAGAATTTTCCTATCAGAGACAAAAATTCACTAGCTTGTCAGTGACAATTTGTATTGAAAAAGGTTTGGGGAAGAGAAATAAGTATAAAGAAAAAATATAAAATTTTCACTCATCTTTGGACGTTTCGGGAACGAATCTGCTCCTCTTCCTGAAAAAGGCAAAAAGATCCTACCTAGCAAGTGCTACTATCCATTATTCCAAAGATCATGGAGAAAACTATCAACATCGAGCTCATGAGATACCTGGAACATTCATGTATTATCAACGATAGGCAATATGGCTTCCGTCATCAGAGATCAACTGGTGACCTGCTCGCTTAGGTCTCACATATGGCAGCAATCTATTGAAAAATATGGTGAAACCTTAGCCGTGGCACTTGATATCTCCAAGGTATTCGATCGAGTCTGGCACCACGGACTCCTCGCCAAGCTTCCATCTTATGGCTTGCCTCCCCAGCTATGTTCTCTGCTAGCTAGTTTTCTCTCAAACAGGTCTTTCCATGTAGTGGTCGACGGAGTTTGATCTGACTCTCTTTTATCATAAATACTGGTGTTCCGCAAGGATCAATTCTAGCACCAACACTATTTCTACTCCATATCAATGATTTGTTGGAAGCAACTTCATGTCCAGTACACAGCTTCGCGGATGATAGTACCCTCCATACCGCCTTCTCCTCCAGGGCTCCAATATACCAGCCAGGCAAATCAGAAACGAACGAGGGAGAAATGTTGACAACCTGAATATGGACTTGGCAACAATTCTCGAATGGGGATCCAATAACTTGGTAGATTTCAATGCAAACAAAACACAAGCATATGCCTTTTCTCTAGAAAAGCCGATCTCCCTGTGCCCAACATAAGCTTGTCAGGAGTAAACATACCTTTGAAGACATCCATTTCGATGCTTGGTATTACCATCAGCAATAATCTTTCTTGGGAAAATCACGTGAGATCAATTGCATCAAGTGCATCCCAAAAACTTGGTTTTCTGTTTCGGGCCAGGAGCTATTTCACTTCCAGTCAGCTGCTTAACGTTCCCATATTTGGAGTGCAGCACCCAAACATACTCTGAAACTGTTGGATTCTATCCAGAAAAGGGCAATTCGTCTCGTGGGTGATGCCTCGCTCACAAACACTCACTTCTCTGGAACACCGTAGAAAAGTTGGCGATCTGGCTCTATTTTATAGATAATTTCATGGACGATGCTCTTCTGAAATATCAACTCAATTGTTCCTCCCTTGGCAGTCCCCGCGAGATTGACCCGTCGAGCTGAGGCTTCGCACCCCATCGAGGTCACTTTGGAGACCTGCAGAACATCTCTTTCCAAAGACTCGTTCATCCAACGAACAGCGAGGCTCTGCAACGCATTGCTAAGGGAGGTGTTCCCCGAGGCATATAACCTCCAGAAATTCAAGAAGAACACCAATTCCTACCTTATTTCCCTTGGTTGATAAAAAATGGATCTTTGTATGACACTTCTCAGTTCTCAGTTCTTGGGTTTTGTATTTAGTTGAACATGAATGATCATTCCACCAGTATTACATTTATTTTTTCAATAATTTTCGACTTTTGCATGCATAGCTGTATTTACGACACGGTATGGTCATTTACATTCTTTTTTAATTGGACAAAAAATATTACAATCCAATTTTTCATATGGCACCAATTTTTTTTAGGTTCTGAACATGTTTAACTTCATCACGAAGTCGTGATTGGCGTAACTCGTAATCCATTTTTTTTTTTTGGGCATATTGTATTCATCTACCTTAATATATTCAATGGATTTTTCGTTCGAATGATACTTCATCATTCTAACTATTCTTTTTTTTTTTCAGGTTTTACTGGCCATGTGCCTTTCGGCTATGCCTCTTTCGGTAAAACAAACGAAGCGATGACGAACAGCGCCCTCTGCGATTTCACGTCGAACTACAGGAAGAGGCTCAGCAACGAATGGGCGCCGGTCCAGATTGACCGTCCTGATCCGCCTGTTCTGATCCAGCCGTCAGAGATCTACCACAAGCACGTCGGGCAATTGCCCAATTACGGTGGACACATTCCGGGGGCCATCTTCAGGTATACAAGGTGGCATCGAAAGAAATTTCGTGATTTCCCTACCCTGTATTTCATTGTGAAAAGTCCCTGTCAGTAAAATTCACCACAAAAAAAAATCTTCTAGAAAAGTCATGCCTTGGCATCTAGGCATGACGTTTGATTCTAAACAACTTTTTCCTGCTTTACAGGGTGAATCTGAAAGTAAGTTTTTTTCATTTAACAGGGTATACAGGGTGAGTATTGCAATGGGCGGCTTCGCTGTTTGAGATAGATGAATGAAATTTTTTGTGATGGTCCAGGCTAATGAGCAGCAAATTTCTGAATTATTTTGCGTATACAGGGTGACTCAAATTTGCGTTGCGTATCAGAGAGTTATACTTTTAATTATAGGACACCCTGTATTGCATTTTCGGATTCTCCTTTGTGAGCTGATTCCATCAAATAAATCACACTCGGGATCTAGCGGGAATGATTACAGATTTCAGAATTATGAACCACCCTGAATCCGTAGATCATTAGATAGTAAAACAAAAGTTAAGATAGGGACATGTAAGCCGTTTTGACCAATAATGGATAGTTTCGACCCAAAAAAAATCCTAAAGTTGAAAAATCTCGATTTTGAACACTTCTCTGTAATCCTTCTTGCTAGACCACAAGTGTGATGCATTGATGAAATCAGCTCACAAAGGTGAATCCGAAAATGCAATGAAATACAGGGTGTCCCATAAGAAAAAGTACATTTTTGATACGTCACGCATTTTTGAGTCACCCTGTATAACGCGAAATATTTTGTTAATGTGCTGCTCATGAGCCTAGACCATCACAAAAATTTTTGTTCATCTATCTCAAACAGCGAAGCGGTTATCTCACTTTCCCATTTCAATGACCCTGTATATCTCGCCGAAATAAGTTGTCTGGCCTGATGCTTCATTTCCCTCCTGAAGTTTTTTGGTTCACTTTGAAACGATAATTAATAGGTTGAGAATGTGAAAAGAGGTTTTTGAAGAGTATTTCTGGTAAAATAATGCAACTATATATAGGGTGTCTAATGCTGGACTAATAACGGCTTTCTTCCGTTTTTTTGTGAGAAAATGTAAATCATAGTTTATAGTTGGTTTTATAGTTGTAGTCTTTTTTAAACCATTAAATATCTGTACCTCCGTTATCTTCAATATTTTTTATGGGCAATTTTTTGCCAAACAACTTTATTTTGGTGAGATATATCCTGTTAAAATCACTTTTCAGATTCACCTTGTATAGCATTTTGCGTAATTTTCTGAAATAATGGTACGTACTCCACTCTTGTAAAATTTTTATATTTCTCACCTACCCTACTGTAGCAACAACTTCGTTATTTCATTTGGAATACCCTCTGTATTTCATTGCATTCTTAGATTCTCCCTGAAGAGCTGATTTCATCAATATATCATACTTGGGTGTTCAAAATAATAGAGATTTCTCAACTTTTGGATTTTTTTGTGTCGAAACTATTCATTATTGGTCAAAACTTCTTACATGTCCCTATCTTAAATTCTGAATCACTATCCAGCGACAATAAATTGGAACAAATACAGGGTGGTTCAAGATTCAGAAATTGAATGCCAGTGTTAATCTATGGTCAGTAGTAAATCGAAAGTTGAAATAGGGGTTAGCCGTTTTGACCAATAATGAATATAGTTTCGATAGAAAAATAATCAGCAAGTTGAAAAGTTTCGATTTTGAACCCCATTTATCTCTGTGAAACTTCCAGCTCTTCAGGGAAAAATATAGAAAAGGCAATGAAATATACGATATTCCATTTGAAATGACAAAGTTGTTGCTACTTTCTAATAGAAGCGGCAACACTGCATTGTCGAAAACATTTTAAACGAAGAGAGCATAATCTCAAAAATAAGCATGCACATTTTCATAATTTTTTCGCTACTGATTTCTGGTGTAAAGATAGTGTATGAGCTCGTCGTGACTTACCCTGTATATTGAGGGTAGTCGAAATTAGACACTTTCGAAGGGAATGTCCTATTTTCAAAAGCTGATATCGGTACTTGAAGATCAATTTGAAAAAAAAAATCAATAGTGACAACATTTTATGGATATCTAGCTTCGTTTCAAGTTATAGTATTGGAAAATTTAGTAAGTTATGTGACAAGCTCATTTTTTGTCATAATTCATTGATTTTGGAAAAATGTCCAAAGGATTGAGTTGATCATTAATCTTCCTGTTTCAGTTTTAAATTTTATACCGCGTTTCAAAAATGCACATTTTCGAAAAATACTCTAAAATATATGAATTCAGATAGAAACTAGACAAACTTGTTTGTGATTTTCCACTACCTTGAATAACCTACAGAGTATATTTTCGATTTTTAGATATGGCAAAACCTATGGAAACGATTCCAGAGATGCGAAAAGATGGTTGAGAGGGGATTTTTCATCATGATATTATGGAGAAATTAATGTATCAACTGTTTATTAAAGTTTTAAATCATCCCGTAACTTCGTCAATATCTCTGCTGCTTTCTGTAAAGTATCTTCATTCTGAAACAAAAAATATCGATAAAAAAATTCACCACACTCGATGCTGATTTTCATTTTGTTTTCAGATATAATAATTCAATAATTTTTAGGTAACTGTATTCGTAATCTTCTGGGTACTATGTTCAGCTTATCATATTATCATTGTATTATTGAACGGGAGAAATGATTGTCAATATAGAGAATACTGATCAAAGTTGAAAAACCTAAGGAATTGATTTTAATCACCTTGTAAAAACAAAATCTGATGAAATGATCGTTTTTTCTTTTATCTTCACCAGCGTAGAATAAACTCATGGGATTCCCAAGGAGTTTGTGCTTTTTGATCAGCCATTTCACGAAACGCAAATCAAGGTAATCATCAGTTTCCGCAGTCAGATCTGTTCGAGGTGCTGAAATATACCAAGTAAAAAAGAAAACACCATTGAACAAATCGGAAATTTTCAGAATATTCACCTAATTTGGATATATCTGCAACAATAAACATTCCTCCATCAGGCATTACCGGGTCCATACCTGTTTTTTTCAACAAGTCCATAATGATGTGCATTTTTTCTTTCAATTGCCTCTGCATCGTTACAAAATGGGTCTGAGGCTCGCCAAAATTCGCTTCTTCATGTTCAAATAGAGTCGCGAAAGCCTCCTAGAAAAAAAGATTTTTCAAAGTGTGCTATGAATTTTCAGAAAAATATTCAGAAGTCGTTTTTTGAAAAACGAGCTAGTATATAATGATTTTTTTCAATCATTTGAGGTTATTTTTACTCCTTCCATGTGGAGGAACATATTTAGTACGGTTATTATATTTATTTTTATAATAACTTGTATGATTCCGTTGAAAGAAGAATGATACTGATACCTGTAATGGGGTGCTAGGATTGAAGACAGATAGCAAATGCAATTTTTTCAAATTTTTCAGCAAACTTGGTGGCCCATATGCCCAACCAATTTGCCAACCAGTTACACCAAAAGATTTTTCTGCTGCGCCAATTGTGATAGTCCTTTCATACATGCCAGGAAGAGATGCTAAAATTCAGTTCTTACATGAATCTTTAATTTTTGTCGACGATGAATATCGGAATTTTAAATAACCCTACCAATCCTTATGTGCTCTTTGGGTTCCCATACCATCCACTCGTATACTTCATCTGCCAAGCAAATAACATCCCATTTCTTGCAAAGGTCGGCTATTCGTTCCAGCTCTGACCTGTCAAAAACTTTCCCAATGGGATTGTTAGGAGTATTCACTATGATAGCTTTGGTCCTGTCTGTGAAGGCACCCTCAAGTTCTTCGTAATCCAACACCCAATCGGATGCTGATTGGGACCCATCTCCATTCGGCTAAAAAGATTCAATACTACACAAATGCGATTTTTATCTATGGTTATGTTAGCACTTCACGATGGTTCATCATTTTGTCAATCTCTGTCGTCACTATGTGTCATATTATCATTAATATTATGCTCTATAACAAAAGTGGCGCAGTCGGTAGGACATGATTCGCGAGTTTTTTTAATACCCGTTGGAAAAGTGACTGTAATTATGATTTCTACTCACTCGTTTCAAAGTGACAAACTTTGCTACCCCTCCTGCTAGTTCAATTAGAACTGAGAAAAATGGGAAATAAGGCTGAACAACTATAACCTCGTCACCTGCTCCAATCAGACCAATAATATAGCAGAATAGAGCTTCACTAGACCCCGCAGTGATCAAAATTTCACTAGCGGAGTCTACATTTCTATTTAGCAGCCTGGAATACAGTTTTGCCAATACGTTTGCTAGTCTTGGGTGGCCCTGGAAACAATTTGAATGTCAAATTTTTCGTCTTAGACACAATTTTGTTTTCATACATAGGGGTTGGTGTATTGATGTGTGGAATCTGAGGTAACAGCTTGGATTAGAGCATCTTTGATGAATTGAGATGGTGCAAAATTTGGGCAGCCTTGACCCAAATCAATAGGTTTGTAAGTTCTGGCGAGGGCAGAAAGTTCTGCGAAATCCTTCCTTGAAAATTGATAGATTACGAACATTGAACTAATTTCACAATGTATCTGGTATACTTACCAAAAATCACCTATTTCTTGGAGATTTGTGTGAAGGGACATGGCATCTGCTGTCAAATTATCTTGATATAGTTGGAATGAAATCAATATTATCATAGTGTCAAAAAATAGGTTTTACAAATAATGATATATTTTTAGAAACAATAATACTTTGCATGCTATTGATAGGTATATCAAATGTGAACGTCAATAATTCTAATCTATTTTTATAATGTATTATAATTATAGTTATAGGTTTCATTGGGAAGACCCTCTGCAGTAAATACAATTTAATTAATACGTAGATTATGAATTATCTACGAGATCCGACGAAGAGCACTATTTTTTTGCAAAATACGCAAATTTGGTCTATTTCTAACTTGTTCTAGCTCCTCACCCGTTAGTCCTACAGTCCTGAGGGAGAAAAAAATATAATGTAGAAAACTGTCTACTTCAACTTTATTCAGGGTGGTCTTTTCGCTAAAATGTAGTTTCCGAGTTACGGGCACAAAAAACGGAAAAAGTGCGAAAATATCTCGGAATGCTTCAGGAAATTTTGTTTGCAAACTCCAGATTCAGATTCAGCACCCCCAAAATCATATGAAGCTGCAGAGAAACCGACTACTTCATTTTTTTTACACGAGAGAATCTTTATTGTAGTGTGAATATCAGTTTTACTGAGCTAATTGTGCGAGTATTTCACTTGAAGCTACTGTGTTAGCAAAACATGTGATATTTATTTATATTGTCAGGCAATACTTTTAGTATCTAGGAGCTAAAATGGGAAAGACCACTGAGAGAAGAAATCCGTGCAAACCTCTTTCAATCGACGAATCATGATTTACGTTTGATGTACAATCAATATTATGAGTTGAAGTTGAAGGGAAATGAATCTATATCGTTTTGAAATCAGCATATTTCATCGATATTTCGAACAGCCAAATATGATGGTGGAGTCGTGACGTATTAATCCCGAACTGTAGCTATCTCTCTCTGATACCTCGTCATTCTGCAGTGTTGCAGTGTGATTGGTCAGTTCAAGGACGATAGGCGTGTTGAGACGTCGCACCAGTCACACCAATGAAATGACAAAATTTCAAATGGCGCAGGAATTGTTTGTTTTGAAATGGACATTTCCAAATTTATTATTTTCATCGTCTTAGCATGAATGACAAAATTCAAAATTAATTCGCTGGTAGTTTAGAGTATACGATAATGTCATTTTAAAAAATGTCATTTTAAAAAATCAGTTGTCTCCCCCATTGGAGTTTAACATTTAGAGAACTGAAAATGAGTTACCTCTAGCTGTCAGCTGATATAGGATAATTGCCGATCCTGACGTGAACAAGTGATAACATGTGATATTTCATTAAAATAACAAATACAACTCATTAAAATTGGAAATATTTTTTGACACAAATGTTTGTCACAAAACTTCGTTGGGCAAGAAAATTTTCTCGTCTATATCTAAATGCCGCCGGTTTTTCTAAAAAAAAAAAAATCTAAAATTGTTCTAAAATTGTTGTTGATTTTTTCTTGGTTGTCACTTCCATATCTTGGTATTCGAAACGCATTTCACAACTTTAATGGGTATTCCAAAGGTTATCTAATTTTATATGTATGAACTTAATTAGTGAAACATATTTACAGGAATATTTTATAATCACCCTTTGAGGACTATGTTTTCCTTACATAAATCTTTATGATCTGCTGTAAAGCATTCCTAAGAACCGTTATAAAAAATAAATTTCCAGTTTCTTGTTGAACTTCCAAACCCCTTATTTTCATTTCAGAACATTAGAGAACACCCTATGTATAATAAATAGTTTTGTTAATACTATCAGTAATAGTGTTATCATAAAAAAAACACTGTATATTCACCTGTTGTACTGAATCAATATTTACAAGAGATTTTTTTTTTTATTTGGAGATCAACTTTGCAGCGGTAGTTGGTTTATAAAACTTCACAATGTTTAATAAAGCGAAAATAATGACTTCATCGCCATTGTTCCAATTTTATATATTGGCTTGTATATTCTTCAGTATTTATGTTATTCAAATACTGATAAGGCTAATAGGTATATACAGTTGGCCAAATAAATCCAACATTTGATTTACAACTTTCTTTCCATTTTCTCGTTGTGAGGGAAATCGATGCTATTTTCACGTACATACAGGGTGATTCAAAATTCGATGTGAATATTTCAAGTACATATTGTTGGGATCGAAATAAGACTATTTCTTTATATATAAATATTAGTCCTAAAATTCAGCCCTTCCGACTTACAGCCACTGTAAGGTAGGTAGAATGTACTTTTAGACACTTTATTTCCTTCTTGCTTCAAAACTTATGTAAACCCAGGTTTGAGGGAGTTGGAAAGGGTGGATCCTCAATTTTATTGACCAAAATGGGGTGCATGTTAGGACACATGTTTATATGGAGAAAAAGTCTTATTTTGATCCCAACAATAAGTCCTTAAAATATTTACATCGAATTTAGAATCACCATGTAACATACATGGTGGAGGGAAATTTCAACCTAAATGTATGATCCTGCTCAAGAATTATCATTTCGAAATCTATTTTATGAGATCTATAAGTATAGCTAAGACTCCATGCACGAATATTTTGCAACATAATGTTCTTCGAAAAAAAGTTCTGAAGCAAAATAAAATGTGAACTTTCTTATTCACTGTGTACTCTGTTATTGTAAGATAGGAGTTGATAGGAGGGGTTAATTGTTTTTACCATATATCTGAATCCAATTTGAAGATATAACAGGACTATTTACCACAACATTGCATATTATCATCATGTTTATTTTGGAAACAATATTAATTATACATCATTAAGTTGCTTCTCATTTATCACTTTGGGCAAAGGAAATACCTACTCAGTAGGTCGAAAGATATAAGTAAGGGGGTTGGCCATACTGAATATTCAATCTATTATATTGGATTTCCATTTTTGCAAAATGTCTGCAGCTTTTTGAAGTTCCTCATCCTTCTGCAAGAGAAATAATATACTGTATATGTATGCTTGATGAATTTATTTGTTATTCAATTTACCTTTATGAAACAATATCGGACGAAGTTTTCACCTAAATGTTTATGGGCAACACTGTAGAATGCTGATGGTGGAATACCCTGTAATCCAACTTTTTTCGACATCCATTTTGTGAATCGGTAGTCCTTGTATTCGTCTTTCTCCGAGTCAAGATCTGCCCGTGATTCTACGAATTTTTTTGGTTAATATACAGTGTATGTTTTATTTTGAATGGATCCACCTATCCTCTTATTTATTTATATAAGTTATTTGATCAACGTTTTGGGCCCAGTTGGCGACTTGAACGGTGTCGTCCTTTTTTATAATGAGGGTCGAGTTTTTGGAAAACAAAATTAGGCATTTTTTTTACAGGAAAATTAAACTGTGAAATGTTCAAATTCAATTATGACTTTCTTGACATCCTGTATTTTCTAAAGGAATCGAGCATTTCACTTCGGCATCAAATTTTGTACTTCAATTTCAATTTGAAAGACTATCAGGTTCAAGAAAATATTTGTTTTATTACCATACAGGGCGATATTTTCAATTTTGAATCCGTTTCTTGTTGTCGATGACTTGTCAATATTTCGAATTCAAAGACCGTTTGGTCCAATTGATGCCCATTATATTCAAAACTTGTATCTGAGAGTTTTCGGGGTCGAAGATTATGGAAAATTTGGAAATTCAAGATGTCGATTCTTCCATGAAAATTGAATTTTTATAAAATATTATCTTTGAAAATGTTAAACTGAAACTAGAAACTGATTTAGGGGTGGAAAAAGAGAAATCATTTTGTTACCTAGGGGTGTCCAATCAGCTATGATGAAGTATCCACCTTCAGGGATGATTGGTCTCATACCAACATCGACTAGAAACTTGGTGATAAATTCCCTTTTAGCTTCTAGTTCTTTGGGTAGAGACGTAAAGTAACATTCGTCTGTCCCTAGTCGTTCCGTTTCTTTCTCAAATGCAATAGCCACAGCTTCCTTAAAATATTACAAAAATTGTTTCATTTGAATCAATCATCAACTCTATAGACGCCGATAATAGTTTATTATTCACTTTTGAATATGGATGATTTTCAAATGAAACACCCTGTAAATTTCGCTCTTTCGAATATGCCGTATCGAATGTCTGAGCATAACTTGTTAACTTTAAGGTTAGTGGAATTTTCAATTGTCTTCTCCAAATCTGTGTTCTTTGTGTTTTTACCTGTATAGGAGTAACGCCTGTGTAAACGCTGTTCTGGTGGATCATTTGCAAATTCACCATCAAGTTAGCTGGGCCATAAGCCCATCCCACTTTCCACCCTGTAACACTGAATGTTTTACCAGCAGATCCAATCGTTATTGTTCTTTCCCACATCCCTGGTAGAGTAGCTACAAAAGTTCTTATATGAATTTTTTGTCCACCAAAATTCAAATCGTTTTTTCAACAAACGAAATTTTTGGGAGTTCCACAAGGATGCAAATGTGGCCCACTACAGAATTCGATTTATATTCGCTGAAGCTGATAAAGTAATTGTGAAATAACGTACACTCTCTCTCAAAAAATGTTCAGAAACTTTCTTGGACCTATTTCGAAAATTTATATGGTTATATCAACCCTAATGAATTATTCATGTACAGGGCTAGTTTTATTAATATGAACCCCTCTTAATCTTTTTTGTTTTCCACCCATCAAAAAAATATTTGATAAAGATTTAACACGATTATTCTTCATATAGGTTCCAATCATAGTGACAGTGTTGCTATATCTCTTCAAATATACGGGGAATTCAGAAAATATATATACTTTTTAAATGAAATGCTCTGTATATTTTGAAATCAGGATGAATTGAGGAATCCAAATATATTAAAATATACGGCGCAAATCCATTTGAAAAAAACTAAATTTTTTTCTATATACCCTGTATATTTGAAGAAATATTGCAATAAGTGAAATCTGTATGAAAAATTGTATAAAATCAGATATAATTTCTTTTAATGAGTGTGAAAAAAAGGTAAAAGGGGGTCCGCACATTAATAAAAGTGGCCCTGTACACAATAATATGACCATTTTGTCAAAATAATTCCATTTACCCATTCTGATATGTTTGTTAGGTTCATAGACCATCCATTCGTAGACTTCGTCAGAAATGCACAGTACATTCCATTTTTTGCACAAGTCTGCTATGTGGTTTAATTCGTCTTCATTGAAAACTTTGCCTAATGGGTTATTTGGGCTATTCACTATGATCATTTTAGTTTTTTCATTGAAAATATTCTCTAATTCGTCTTTGTCTAGGACCCAGTCAGATGTTGTGGGTAGTCTTCCAGATACAGGTTTCTGAAAAAACAAAAGAAAGCATTTTTCTATATTTCAAATTTTACTTCCTAAGATAGAAATTCAATCGGGTAGTCGGTGGCACCTTGTTCGAAAAATGTTTGAAGATGAAGAATATAAGAAAATTGATATAAATATAATTTCACTAATCTTACTTTTCGGGACCGAATCTGCTTCCGATTTCAACATGATAATAAAAGCTAAACGATATTTTGAAATATTTCAATATAACCATCAACTATCCTAAGAATCCAATTGTCAAACAAACTCAGTCGATTATACAGGGTATTTAGAAAGTACTTATACAAACTCTAAAGGGTAGATCTATGACTAATTTCAAGATAAAAAGTTCATATGAAGCGAGCGAATCTGCTTCCGATTTCAACATGATAATAAAAGCTAAACGATATTTCAAAATATTTCAATATAACCATCAACTATCCTAAGAATCCAATTGTCAAACAAACTCAGTCGATTATACAGGGTATTTAGAAAGTACTTATACAAACTCTAAAGGGTTGATCTATGACTAATTTCAAGATAAAAAGTTCATATGAACCTGAGCTCGCAACGGCTTGGTTTTTGAGATATAGGGCGTCCAAAAAATATTTTATTTAGTTTTTTGATCATTTTTAAGTTCAATAGCATGGCAATTTGATGAACCACGGGATGCTGGGTATATTGATGACGAGGAATTTATTATTAACTCAATTTCCTGGATAATGTTAGAGGGTGTCGCATTATAGTGTTGGTCCTGGATTTAACTAACCATAACTATCGCACTGTATATCATTTGTGACTAATGAGCTAATCTATTATCCATTCAATATTACATACACAAGGTATCATCTTATTTGTCGATAAAAGCAGTCGTTTTTCATGAAAACTGGTTTGAAAGTAAACTTTTGCGATGGAATTTTTTAAAAATAATCCAAAAAATGTATATTTAATTGCTTGTATTGTCAGATAACAAAACAGATCATTTATAAGACTGATACTGAACTAGTACATACATTTACAACAATAAATGCTGAAAATGACCACCGCCTACTTCAAACAAAATATATTTTTTGGACGCTTTGTATCTCAAAAACTCAGCCGTTACGGACCCATGTCAAAGATCAACCCTTTGAAGTTTGTACAAGTACTTAATAAATACCCTGTATAATGAATGTTTTGTTGGTTGCATAGGCGTACGTATACTAGTTTTTATGCATAGGCGTATACTAGCTTTTTTTATAAACATATTAATGGGGAAGACCACTGAGAGAAGAAATCCGTGCAAACCTCTTTCAATCGACGAATCATGATTTACGTTTGATGTACAATCAATATTATGAGTTGAAGTTGAAGGGAATCGAATCTATATCGTTTTGAAATCAGCATATTTCATTCGATATTTCAAACAGCCAAATATGATGATGGAGTCGTGACGTATTAGTCCCGAACTGTAGCTATCTCTCTCTGATACCTCGTCATTCTGCAGTGTTGCAGTGTGATTGGTCAGTTCAAGGACAATAGGCGTGTTGGGAATAAGACGTCGCACCAGTCACACCTATGAATTGACAAAATTTCAAATGGCGCAGGAATTGTGTGTTTTGAAATGGACATATCCAAATTTATTATTTTCATCGTCTTAGCATGAATGACAAAATTCAAAATTAATTCGCTGGTAGTTTTTCAGTATAGAGTTCACGATAATGTACAAGTAGAATTCATATTTTTTCACAAAAATATTGTACAAAGAATCTTACTGGTCTAAGCGGTATGAACCTTGGTATTCCTCCAGCGTACTTCACCATGGGTTCATAGCAATCAAAGAACGGTTCTATTATGATAACTTCGTCTCCTTCGTCTGTATGTCCCATGATGGTAGAAAAAAGAGCTTCGTATGCTCCTGAAGTTGTGAGAATTTCTGTACGCTCATTGATTTCCCTTCCAATCAATTTCGAATAGAGTTTGGAAAGTGCTGATACAAGCCTTGGGTGACCCTAAATTGAAAAATGATACGATGTTTTTTCAACCATGCTTATCTTTTTTATTCACAGGAGAAACTTCAAAAAAAATATTGCACAAAAAACAAAAAGAAAAAATAATACTTTTCTATACAGGGTGTCCCAAAATTGCTGGGACACAGAGCAAACCACCCTCACCCCCTGACATTTTTTTCAGAACTTTCTTAGAGGTTCTGAAATTTGTTGAGCTTGAAGACTAATCAATTACCTTCATTTTATTTCTCTTGTAAAAACTTCGTATACCGCATAGTTTCGAAGAAAAAAAATGTTCTCTCAAATAATGCTACCAGATATTCCTATAGTACAAGTTTGATCAAATTGTGATATAAAACTTAGTTGACATTTCATCATTCATCTGACATTTCATCATTCATCTGACGTACATACATAACTCAGCGTTTTTTCCGCTCTTGTGGAAATGGTCAAAAATATATAGCAGCACTTCTTCATTAAAAAGTTACTGCAAGAAGCTGGCCACTGGAAAGTTCTGGAAAAAATGTCAGGGGGTAAGGGTGGTTTAAACCCTTCTACAATTTCTTTTAGGTTTCTTCGATAACCAAAAGGAAAGTGATCCTCTGAAATACACTATTGCCAAATTTCATCAAATTCGTTTTACTTATTTCTGAAGAGCTTACAAAAATGTGTTTTTTTATGGGAACTTTGAACCCTTCTCACGGACAAACGGTACATTTTGGCAAATGAATAAATTGGGCCCAATCAACTTATTTTGACCTCCTCTACACGTGGTAGCTCTGTGTCCCAGCAATTTTGAGAGACCCTGTATATTATTATGCTATCTATCAATCTATGGCGATATATCCATCATGGTATATGAATTATGAACAGTAGTTTTATCAAGCTTATTTCGAATCAATTAGGTCAGTTCCTTATCATATAATAGCCGGTCAGAGATCAATATAGTGTTTCAAGTCACTATTGGAATATTGTATTATTCTCATTCAAAATATAGATGACTCAACGACAAAGAACTAAAAATATTTGAAATCATATTCAATGACCACACTAAAATATCTACATTTTTTTATAACTCAATCAATAGTTATTTTTGTATCTAGAGCGCGAAATGCTAATTTGGTGATCGAGATCTGATTTTTTTAACGAGGCGTAGCCGAGTTGAAAAAATAGTCGAGATGACCAAAGTATTTCGCGCTCGAGTTGCAAACAACTTTTTTTCTACAAGCGTCAAAAAATATAGTTCTAAAGTAAAAATATGCTTAGCTTGATATAAAAAATAGTGTCGAACTGGCTTAAAAGGCTTCCCTCTATCCTCCCTAGGTACGCACGATGTTCCACGAACATAATAGGAATTTCCATTCGTGCGCTCGAACAGATAAAACAAAGTTATTGCTGATCATTCAGAAATAAATGATTTCGTGGATGTTTGCTCGATTGAGGACCATAAAGTTGAAATATAAATATTCCATATATTTTACATAACAGTGCGCGAAGTAGGTACTTCGCGCACTGTTTTACTCCGCGCATTGTTTTGTGCAAGGTATCATGGTAACGTAGGAAACTGAAAAAAGTTTCACTTCGCAATTTGTTTTCAATGCGCGAACCTTGTCATTTTTTGACGTTTGTAGAAAATAGTTATTTGTTTTACAGTTTTACTATGCAGAAAAGAGCAAGAAACCATCCTAGGCAGAAAAAGTACACCTTTTTTGTCTTTCAAGTGTCATTCAGAAGCCACTTTTGATGAAATTTGGAGAAAAAAATATTTAATCTCAAGTCGAGATCAAAACATTGATCTTCAACTTCATCTTATATCTCTTCAGAACATTATTTTCAAAATTCAGGTGTCTCACAGTCTGTTACTTACAAACCCTCTTGTATATTGGTTGAGCATGTAATTTGGTCCACTAGCAATGTCTCTCAGAGTGTCGAGAATGTACTGTGGTGGTGGGAAATCTGGAAATCCCTGCCCCAAATTCAAGGGTTTGTGGTCAATTGCCATCTGGATATATTCCGTCCTTGAAATTTTTTTAATCAATAATGAAGAAAAATATATATGAGGAAGATGTGACTTACCACACACTTTCTGTTGAATCGGCGTAACGCTTTGGTAAAACAAATTTATCTTCTATTTCAGACATCCTCAAAGTTTTAAGGAAAATATTTCACTAAAAATTTCAAATTACGTTATTGGATTTGAGGAATATTTGCTTTTATTAGTAGTAGTGACTATATAAGTATCTGAAATATCCCAATTCAAAACTCATTATAATTATGTAGTTGAAAAATATCACATTTTTGATACATATTCTAACTAGCTTTTGAATTTATAATGATGGCAAAACATTCTTTGAAATCACGGATATTGTTTTAAATAAATTGTTGAAATAATCTACCTAATAGTATTCAACTTGAATATTTGAATAGATTCAATCAGTATTTACATTAAAAAACAAATCGAACTTCTTTTGAATAAATTGTTAACGGTGCTAGTTTTCAATATAGGATTCGAATAAATTTGATGTACAGGGTGTTTGGTTCACCGACGTATATCCGGAAGGAGTTGGTAGGTTATGTGATTTCGAAAATATTTATCCATGCATATATATACTATTATACAAAGTGTTGCACTTTTCGAGATATCATCGATTATAAATTCGAACTTGAATGTTACGAAAAATCATTTTTTGACTAACAAGCCAAAACATGTTTTTATCACATTTAGATTTCATTACGTGTTAAATATTGATGGAATATACGTATACTTTTCATATGAAAAGAGATACAATCAGATAAATTGTTTGAAAATACCATGAGATTTCGAAACTCTCAACACTTTGTATAAAAGTATATATAGTAAATATGTTTGAAATGTTCCCAACTATCACCCCCTTCCAGTTATACGTCGGTGAACCAAACATCCTGTATAGTATTGAAAGAAATCTGTTTTCTTGTGAATGATTGATTCACAATTTTTGTTACTATATTTTCGCATCATGTAACAAAGAATTTAAGGATTCATATTATCACTCACCTAGATATTTTCTAATTCAAATTACACTTTGAACTATAATCAATTCTTCAAACATTTGGAACTTTTGTCAAATTTTAACTTCTTGTATAATCAACAAGTCTTTATACGTATTTTGTTATCAATATATTTCACTTCCTAATGGTTCACGCTGAATTTTATCTTCAAAACTAGTTCAATACTCTATAGAAATCTCTTGACTGAACTAATCTTAGATTAAAGTTTTCTGTTACTAGATATCTTTAAATGGAACGCACATTCATTCAGTAATCTAGCTCACTCGTCATTAAATAGCAGGTTTGCCAGATTTCCAATACACTTAACATCTACGGAAAAAGCGAAGAATAACCTCGATTTCGAACCGCTTGTGAAAAAATGGAAGTATGAAGTATTGCTAAATTTTTTATAATAGCATTTAGTCGAGGTCTACTTTTATCAATTTGTTTCGTTATATATCACATTTCTTTTTGTATGCAAATTAATTCATGAATTGAGTAAAACAAGGTTTAGACAAACATAATTTATTATAATTATCATTCGGAAAATATCACATAGGCATTCATAAAAATAGTTCCTACTCTAATTCATTATTATCACTGTCTGGATGATTTCCATTTATCCAAAATATCGGCTGCTTTTTGCAAGTTCTCGTCTTTCTACAAAAAAATCATCAACACTTTAACATACAGCTGGAAATAAAAAGCTATCTTTTACCTTGAAAAAGCAATATCGCACGAATTTTTCTGCTAAATGTTTATCAGGTGAACTGTAAAAAGCAGAGGGAGGTATGCCTTGAAGACCCACATTTTTTGTCATCCACTTTGTAAATTTATAGTCTTTGTATTCGTCTTTTTCTGAACTGAGATCAACCTGCGACTCTAGAAAAAACGTCTATTAAACTCGGGAAAGTTGATAACTGTATAGAATATTTTTATAATACAGGGTGATTCAAAATTCGATGTGAATATTTTAATGACGTATTGTGTATTGTTGGGATCAAAATGAGACTTTTTCTTCTTGTACCCATGTGTTCAAAAATTCACCCCTCCGAGCCACAACCACTGTTAGTTTGGTAAAAAAAAAAGAAAATCTGAAAGGGCAAGTATTCCAGTACTGCACGCCTCTGAAATAGCAGTCTCAAATGCGTTCCAACATACGATCACCTCCGTATGTATGCAAGCGTTCAACCCATTGCGTTCAAAAACGATGACGTGACTTCCCCTTTCATTAATAACGATTTTCTGGCACACGGTTAGTTGTATGAAAAAAAAGTAAGAGACCGAATTCTTACATTTTTTTATAGCCCACACGATCATGTTATTGAGATAAGTCAGAGTTTGTCTTTCTAAACATAAAATGTGGCCCAATGAAAGTATGTGGATCCCCCTCCAACTCTCCCAAAACTGTTTTTTTTTTAATGAAAGTATCTGTTTCGAAGATGTGGTATTGGAAAGTCGCAAAATGTAAGTTTGCACTTAAATGAGAAAAGTTTCCTTCGGCTCTTGATTTCGGCTGTACTACTGAACCGAATTTGGAGTTTCATGTACTCATTTCACGTAGAATTTAACCCTCTTTTTCATTAAATCGGGTGTCACTTCTCGCCTGACTCATTGTTTTCCAGCTACAAGCAAAACACTGGAAAAAAGGGCAAAAATGTACTTCTCTTGGGCTTTCAAAAGTTAAGTTCACCTCCTGGGATGATGCAAACTCACATTACACTTATTTAGGACCAAATGAAGGTATTGAAACGATTTCCAGCTTAGTGGCAATTAATTCCAAGAAAAATCCTCATTTGATTGGCCTCCTGGTCTGGTGGTATGAGTAACACTTAATGTGTTTGGCATATTTTTTATTGAAAAGCAATCATACTAGGCTCACAAAAATTCAGCGCCCTATTAATCGTACGCTGCATTGATTTTTTTTTCAACTCTTTACGGCCATACCACGACCACCTCCACCACTGGAAACCTGCCAGACATTCCGTTCAGTTTTCAACGAGGGTCTCTTGATGCAAACTGACATATATGTCATCTTAACAGGGTACGGACAGATCCTCGTCTCTTCTCACTCTAAAGTGTTTGTGAAACAGTTATATATTTCCATTCTTATTCAATTCTGGGAATAAACACTAGATTTTTGACATTTGTTGTTTTTTAGGTTATATTGAGGACATTGGCGTATCATACGTAATTTCCATATGGAATTCCTGATTCAACTATATCAAGATAAAGATGAACAATCCTCTAGTTTTAGAGTTTCTACTTCAGCATAATCTTTGCGAGGTAGGGAACATATAAATTATTGTACTGAAAGCTTAATATATTTCACCAAAAGAGACTGTTCTTGGACTGTATACCAGGGTTGACTGAATTTCCCAATTTTGACAAAAAATCATAAAGTTCGACCCCAAAAACCCTCAGATACCAATCTTAAATAGAATCAGAACATAATTAGAAATTTCTTTCGCTATATATTGGATCCGTCATCTCGAATTTTCCAAGTTTGACGAAACAATCATTATCTCCTACCCCGGAAAACCCCAGATACCTTCCAATTACAAAACTCGTTCGCCATATTATGATCTTCCTCAACAAGTAAATACCCTGTACATACCTATTATCAAAATGTTGAATGTTTCTCTGTAGCGCCCATGGATGTGACGTGACAGCAATGTCAGGGATGCCAGTAGACAAAACTAAAGTCTCTAGATCATTAAAAAAAGAATCCAGCTATGATCTGTTGGTATCTTGTTGAGATGACAAATACGTCAATTTCCATCAAGGGACCCTACGAGATATCATGATGAAATTTGTTGTCAGCTCTCCGTCTATATATTTCATCTTTTGTGAAGCAAGAAGGAAATAATAAAGTGTCTAAAAAGGGGGCATGCCAATTTTTAGAAGATTTGGTCGTTTGATATTCTAGTCACAATTTTAGATAATCTTTTTTTTACCTAACTTACAGTAGATGTAGCTCGGAGGGGCTGCATTTTAGGACACATGTTTATTTGAGGAAACAGTTTTTTGTTATCCCAACAATATGTCTTTAAAATATTTTCATCGAATTTAGAATCACCTGTACATAAAATATATGGAATAAATTGAATACATTTATTATTTACCAAGAGGAGTCCAATCAGCTATCATAAAATATCCACCATCTGGTATTGTAGGTCTCATACCCACATCAACTAAGAACTTAGTCATAAAGTCTCTTTTGGCTTGGAGCTCTTTAGGTAAAGTTACAAAATAACATTCTTCTGATCCCAATCTTTCCATCTCTTTTTCAAAACCTATAGCAGTGGCTTCCTAAAATGAGATCGTTCAAGGAAATATATACAGAGTGACCCATTTGAAACCATGCCACCCTCATGAAATTTCTATTTATGGACTGATTCTGTTTTAGATGTGGAGAAGGAAAGCGTATTTTGGAGCCAAGCGATCGACGTACACTTTCAAAAAACCAAGGCCTACCAAATCACATTCAGATACTGGAAAATTAATTTTAGATAAAATCTGTATTCGCAGAGATTATACACTCCCCATAATCTCTGGTATTCGTCACTCCAATCGGCATCCATAATAGATCTGTATCAAGTATATAAACAACTTTTTAACTTTCATAACTAGAAAGGCATTTAGCGTACCGAAATGTACCAATCTAAATGAATTAATCACTTATAGATGATCTGTGATTTATTCAAAAAATTGAACACGTTACCATGGCAACACAATTTCTTAAACACATTACCATGGCAACAGAGTTTTTTGAACACACCTTCAATCGTTCGAGTCCTGTCCAGTCTGTCAATTGTAGGAACTGTCAGCTGTTATTTCCAAATTTTGTTGCAATCAGAATTATTGAAACAATTTCTCTGTTGGTATGGAATTTCATAGAATTGTTAATATTTTTTCATTTCAGTGGCGTACGCAGATTTTTCCCTAATATGGATTCTGGAATTTTCAGCCCCTGAATATGTTCTTGTAGTCCTTGTTTTTTTTTAAAGTGGACACCACTCAGTTCCAGAATACACCTTTCCCCCTCCACATTGAAAAAAAAGTTCGTCAACATCGCTACATAAATAAAAGATTTTTGAGGTTGGCCCGTTTTCTAATGGAGCAATTTTTTTCATATTTCAAACTAGTACTTGTATGGGTGTCACTCCTGTATACACGCTGTTTTGATGTATCATTTGCAAGTTCACCATCAAATCAGCTGGGCCATAAGCCCATCCAACCTTCCACCCTGTAACACTGAATGTTTTACCAGCAGATCCAATCGTGATCGTTCTTTCCCACATCCCTGGTAGAGTAGCTACAAAAATTATTTTGATATGCAAATCAATATTCAAATACAATTTATCAAAGAAATTAAACTTCGCCGTATACAGGTATCAATATACATTATTCATTAAACAGAATATGATATTGTTATTGATGTTACAGGTTAATGAGGTAGTTTTAGAAGTCCCACAAGGATGCAAACCAGGCCCTCTATCAAATCCGATTTATATTATCACTGACGGCAGTTCAGCACTAGCGAAAACAATGGACGGACTTGTTGACAGGTAGGACAAAGTAACTCTATATCATTTTTTTATCGCATAGAGCGCACCAAAGGAAATACCTATGATGTTTGAAGAACATCGTGCATACCTAGTGCTATTTTGCAAAAATATGAAAATAAACTCTTGTAATTTTTAGATTACACGCCTTCTTGCAAAATTATCGGTACTTTTTATGCATTTGTGCAATTATAACAAACTGATACTTTCGCCGCAGTTAAGAACAATTGAAAAATCAATATTTACTCACCAATCCTGATGTGTTTATGTGGTTTATAGACCATCCATTCGTAAACTTCATCAGACACACATAGAACATTCCATTTTTTACACAAATCTGCTATATGTGTCAACTCTTGTTCAGTGAAAACTTTACCCAGTGGATTATTAGGGGTATTCAAGATGATCATTTTGGTTTTGCTATTAAACAACCCTTCTAATTCAGCTTTGTCCAATACCCAGTCAGCTGAAGTGAGTAGTCTTCCTTCCACAGGTTTCTGTGTAGAAAATACAAAGTCTATTGGAAGTTTATAAATATTTGAACATAGAAACAGTGACTTGTAGGTGATTATCCGAGAATTTCAAGATAAAAATAGGGTTGGCATAATTTTGTAACTTACTGGTTTCAGTGGTATGAACCTAGCAATTCCACCAGCGTATTTCACCATTGGTTCATAGCAATCGTAAAAAGGTTCAATGATAATAACTTCATCACCGACTTCAGTGTGGCCCATTATAGCAGAAAATAAAGCTTCATAAGCTCCACAAGTTGTCAAAACTTCAGTGCGTTCGTTGATCTCTCTACCGATCAACTTTGAATATAGTTTGGCGAGGGCATTAACTAGTCTTGGGTGTCCCTATTAACGAAAATTATGTTTGATCTTTATAGTTCTGAGTAGAGTCCCTGTATATACCTTAGACAAGAGTCCGGACACAGCTATACTTCTGCCCTTTTCTGTTTTCAAAAAATGCATTGATGATTGAATAAAGGAATAAGACATATATATGGTGTTTCGTCACATTATCAGGTGGGCAAACCAAATGAAACAAAATATCAAAAACCCCAAACGGCTGTCAGTTTTGTGTCCGGACTCTTGTCTAAGGTATATACAGGGACTCTAGTTCATAAAATGGCATACCCATGATTGGTACTTACAAAACCTCTGGTGTATTGGTGTAGCATATAGTCTGGACCGTTTCCTACTTTACTCAAGGTATCCATGATGTATTGGGGTGGTGGATAATCTGGAAATCCTTGTCCCAAATTCAGGGGTTTGTAATCAATGGCCATTTGTATGTATTCCGTCCTTGAGATATGATATTTATAAAATTTAATCAATTGTATAATTGGTTTTGCCATATTTTCACAGGATATTCTTATTTTGCAAGGAATCAAGCAAATGGAGGAAAATAAATCTAAGTAGGTATGCAACCAACAATACAATTTCATTATTATTATTGGTGAGGTTATGTTCAAAAGTGTCAGTAATCTATGGTTAAGGTTTTAGGTGACATTTATATTTTAGTTATTCTCTAGTCAGGAAAAAATTACACAATAAGTTTCCATAAATGTAATACCAAAAATGCATTGTTTTCAAGATATAGGGTGTTAAAGTAATTCCTATATAGCCATTCATTTTAAGGAACCTAAACAAATTTGATCGAGAATTTGATAGATATACTTAGACAGATAGATGCAAAATGACATTCATATAATACCTGAAGTCATTGTTGCAAGTGGTCACTTTCAACAGTTTTTGTAAATTTTTTGTATGCTAACTAGACTTGCAATAAAATAGTTATTATTTTTTATCTAGTAATTAAATGAAGCAAGATATGAGAAAAATCCAGGAGACGAAAAAGTTGTAGTTGTAATAGCTTGCTATCTCAGGAAATTATCAATATTGAATTAAAGTCAGTGGTGTACATTTTTATCAATAAATTTTATTTCAACACCCTGTATCTTGGAAACAATGCATTTCCGGACCTACATTTATGGGAACTTATTTTTTTAAAATAATCTGAGGAATCACCTTAAATATTGCCGCGTATTTTTTCAACACCCTGTATAATAAGGCTTGAAGAGCTAAAAACTTATGTATCAGGCTCTGCCTGATGATTGTTTATTTCGAGGTTTATTTTCTGAATGCTGATGATTTCTACAATCTACAACTGTACTACTTTGACTGGCTACAAAAAAGTAATAACTGAAAGCAGACTAAATAAAGCAGCCGATACTTTGTTCAATAATACACTCCTGAATGAAAAATTCAAATTTCATCAACATTTTTGAATCCAACAGGAAGTGAGATGAACAAACAAAATTTCATTTACTTTATCTGAAACAATTGCGGAAATTGCAAGCTAATTATGGGACACCCTGTATATCTTACTGCCTATAGTTAGTAAGAGAAGTTAGACTTACCATACACTTTCTTTGGTACCAGCATACCTTTGTGGCAATGTAAACCTCTTTGCATTTGACATGTTCACTTCAGTGGTAGAGACACAGATTAGTAGAGATCTGTCTGAAAAAATTACTATAAACTGATGCTTTATATAAAGTAGTGGGAGCGGCCTTGCACATCAATTTCTTGGCTACCATCTGGAAAAGAACAGACCCATTCTTTGACTTAATAACTGTAATCATTGCAACAATTCTTCGAATTCGAACTAGTCTGAAATCTACTATTAACCGCAATTGATGAGTATTTAATACCTAAAGAATTGAACTTGTAAGTGTGTAGTATTGGCAGTTTAATGAAATATTTCAAAATCTAATGAACAAATATCAATTTCTCCAAATTTAATTTCCTAACCTAAAAAATTTTGACGTGTCAACGAAAGTGGTTCAATCTGCTTATCATGGAAGGTCGAAAGGTCTACTATAAATAATTCATATTCCTCGTCAGTGCCCAGTGGCGTATCAAAAATCAACCAACAGGGTACAAAAGGACATTTCCAGTTTTAATTTGGTGATTTGATGTACCAAGTGATGACTACTGAGAGTACCTTATTATCGAACCAATTTTAATTTTGCATAAGTACTTCCATACAAGGTGATATGGCTCTTCCTTCCAGCCAATGGAAATCATGAAACACAATGCCAAATTGATATGGATCTCAAATTAATTAGCATAGCATTTTGGTTTGCATTTTATTACATATATTTATACTTTTTTCACGTCTCCAACTAATATTAAATGATTATACTTTTCCTTTGATCAATAAGTCAAATTGGCTGGAAATGGATATTGTCTGGTTCCATCACAGTAAAATTATTAATCCAGAATAATCTTCATGTATTTTATTGTTGAATCACACAGTGACAAAATAAGCGAAACAAGATAATTTTTCATAGTTTTTAATGTAAAAACAAAACAATGTTTGTATAATTTAAATATACATTAGTCAATAACTTAAAAACTCAACTCTCATACGATCAACTCAAAACATGCGTCACAACCAATACAATAAACAAACAAACAAATAAGTTCTTATCAATATCTACCTATAATCATATTACACGTGACATAATCACTGATTCATAATATATCATCAGGGTATAACTCGCAAATGAAATTACGAAAATATAGTCGACCCACGGGAAAAAGTATTTCACGCTAATAACCTAGAATATTACTGACAATCTGTCAACAGTGTCGAATCAACGAGTGTGACCTCTGAAGGGGCGTGATTTAATCAGATAGATGTCATAATGACAGTCAATGAATTGACTGTCTGAAAGAGCACAGAAATAAGAATGAAGATTTATAATTTCCTAGTAAATATGGGGGATCATACATTTTCACAATCTCATTTTAGAGCAACGTACAGGGATAATCCAACCAAAAGTATAGTCTCCCTGGAACAACTTCAAATCTCTGATAATTTTCAAAATAGATAAAGCTAAAGTTGCAATTATTGTTGGCGTTATTCACTCTGTGCATTCTGGATTCTGATATAAGCTATTCATTCATTTATAAAAACATGATATATGGTGTTATGTATTTTTATGTCACTGTCAGTTATTAAAAAACCGAAAAGCAAAAGGTTTTAAATTTTAACTATAAGGTTCAAAGTTCTTCACTATTTCAATAATTATTACCTATGTCAAAATGTATTTCCCTTTCATTTTGAAGTTGTTTAGGGTGACTAATTTTGGTTGAAATAACCTTTACTAAACAGGAGTGAGGAAAGTGGGAAAACCCAACAGCAACAAAAATGTAGTACTTTCTCCTTCTATGTTGGAATATTAAAATATTGACATTTTGAGATCTCTTGTGCTTAGTATTCCTAAAGGACACTTCGGCAAATCACTGACCACATAAAAATTAACGATTACTGATGATTCATAACTGGGATCAATGAGATGTCAAAAGTGACAATTGTATGTACAGAGTGGTCGAAAATGGTCTGTTTCAACAGAAAAAATCTATTTTCCGGCAATGGCGATGGCAATTTCGAGCCTTCACATAGAGCAGAAAAGCACTACTCATTTCTATACCGTTTTTGTTATGAAATTATTCAAGCGATTCGCCATCTATTGAATAATATAATATAAACTGGGCGTCAACTGAAACGTTAATAGTGAAATTTTGCATCAAGTTTGACTTCTCGTAATTTCTAAAATAGTGAACGAATTTTGAATTGCCGCCCAGATTCTGAATGCCTTTTTCATTGTCTCTGTAACCGTTCCTTACAGCTTCTTCTAAATTGATCAGGATCCATGATACAGGGTGAAACAAAGTTATGTGCATTTTGAAAAAAAATTCTCCGCCCCCCCATTTTGTCGGAAGACCACGATGCTCATATTTTATTCAGGCATTTCATAAATAGCAACCATACCTCGGGACGTTTTCGAGTTTTTGCCAAAAACTACTGTGGTTTCCGAAAAAAAAAAATTTTTTTGTATTTCGACCCGATTTGAACGAGTCATCTATAAATTTTTTAGGACCCGAATTACACTGACATTTTCATGAAAATTGGCAATTGATATAACCTCTATGCATACCTATATTATTGTTTCAACAATACGTTGTTATAAAAACAAGGTATCGTTGTTTGTATTTGTTGATGAGATGTGTTGATTTACTGCTCACAAAGACAACTTTATCATAGACTGCGAAGTAATAAATTATTGATTGTTTTTGAGTAACCTGGTATACATATATGCTTCAACGATTTCCTGAAATGCATAAAAGCATCCATTTAGGAACTTCTCTAAATTATTCCATTTAAAAAAACTGAAAAAAAAATAATTTTTTTCGAAAACCACAGTAGTTTTTGGCAGAAACTCGAATACGTCCCGAGGTATGGTTGCTATTTATAAAATGCCCGAATAAAATATGAGCATCGTGGTCTTCTGACAAAATGGGGGGGCGGAGAAATTTTTTTCGAAATGCACCAAACTTTCTTTCACCCTGTATCACGGGTCCTGATCAATTCAGAAGAAGCTGTAAGGAACGGTTCGAAAGAAGATGAAAAAGGCTTTCAGAATCTGGGCGGCAATTCAAAATTCGTTCAATATTTTAGAAATTACGAGAAGTCAAACATGATGCCAAATTTCACTATTAACGTTTCAATTGACGCCCAGTTTACATGCATTACCATATCTGATTGAGACGAGTTCATTTAAAAAATTTGAAAGTTGCAGTAGAATCATCTTTAAAATCGAATATCAATAATCAATATACCATATTTCTATTCTTCTAAACAGAACTAAACTAGTTGTTTTACCACCACTGTTTCCCATACTGCCTGAACGACTTACTGATTTGTTGTCATTTTGTCACTATTTGAACAGTACTGTCAAAAAAATCTGTCATTTTCTACGAAAACTCGAACAGAACAGATTTTCTAGCTTTATGACCTTGAAAAGGGCTTTCTGACAGATAGACCAATGAGATTGTAATATTTCACAAACGATGCTCGAAGTTTGGAAACAGTTGATGAATTCAGTAGTATACTCTCAGTTTTCGTCTAGTCGCCCATTTTATTAGAAATAAATAACCTTCCCTATCAAAACAGACCAATTTCGTCCGTGTACAGTGGGATAACAGTAAATTTGCAACCTGATATACTAGTTCAAAAACACTAACAGAGGCAATATCTATCGACAGTTCGATTCCAATTTTTCTCACTATAGTTCAAAGTTCAAATGTACCATTGAAAAAAATCTGAATGTCTTATCTCAGGAGTATATACAGTGTGACCACTTAAGACGGAAGTTCCACTCACTAATTCACATCTGGATATGAGTGGGGTTATTTTTTGACAGCTTTAAAAAGGTCGTGGTACTAGGAGAAAGAAAGAGGACAAGACTTGCATATAATATCTGGATTTTATCTAAGGGGGCTGTGGTCATTCTGTATACAGAACTGAAATAAATAACGTTTGTATCCTTAAGAGTATTGTACATTACATGATTCATGAAAAGAAATCTATTTGAATACTGTTATTCGTGCACAAATCTAAAATTTCGGACCTGATATTGAACAATCCCCTTAAGGAAAATGACTTTTTACCGCGATATGCAAAACATGTCGGATCAGACTGATTGAATCAAAAAATCGGTATTTAATGGCGAATTCTCGTCTTCATGAAAAAAATACGTAATAATAGAAAATCCGAAAAGTTGAAACTGTACTAGTGGTGTGTAGCTTGAAAAATAAGATTTTCCAAATCCTTTTTATTTCCATGAAAATTTACCCCGAGAATTATGAAACTAAATTTTTAGCAACAGTTTTTCTTTCATTATTTAATAATTCAAATGATTTTCCCAGGAATTTCCACAATACATTCTATAGAAGCAATTATCGAGCTATTGTGGTTTGTGATAAACATTTTCCGGATAATTGTCGATTGGAAAATTTTCTGAGAAAAATAATTTCCACCATTCTGAGGTCATATTACTTAGTATTATCACAAATCAGGCAATTAGTGCTTATGCATGAATAGACCGGGATTGAAAAAATCACGTAGGCATTTTCCAAAATATGGCGAGTGAAAAATACTAGGAATGTTGAATAAACAGGAAATGAGCTCACACAGATTAATTGCATTTATATTTAGTGATGTAAAATATTTTCCGGGATGTGATGAATCTGGGAAATTTCCGGAAAAGTATGTTTGGAAAAGCTTTCATGATATGATTTTCAGGGTCATATTACTTGTTTGCGAAAAATATCGAATAGTGGAAATGATTTTCCTCCAATGAAAAACTATCACGCAATTTTGTTTGGAAATTTCAAATACAAATCAATGTACTGTTTCACACACAAGGTTGGATGTTGCCAAATCTCGAAACTCGTATGAAGATTAGCTCAGGATTAACGATTTTTTGTGACCGACCAGTTTGCCACTCTAACACAAAACCTTCTACAATACCGGGTGACCCAAGTTATCGTATACAGGCAATTTCTTGCTTATTTGACAAGATGATTAAAAAATTCAGCAACTGCATTGAATGGCATTGGAGTACCTTCTTCATGACATATTAAAAAATCTATTACATTTGACAGTTCTCTGGCAGCTATCCCCCACTTTTTATTTTCGAATTTTAATTATTCCGCGTATATTTGCATGATGCGATCATTCGTTATTTGAAATCATCGCAAATATTTTTTTTAATAATGAAATTCGTCTCCTACGAGTAACGCCAGCTTCGATGACGTCATGAACCGTCAGGACCACATATTTCGACTCTGCCAGATTTGTACCTAATAATTACCTTATGAGATTCAATATGACCAATGACTACAGTATTCACATTCACAGAAGACAATAGTTCGACCTGGTCCCTAATAATCACTTATTGAATGCTTATATACTCGCAAGATGCTACAATACCAATAAAAATATCCTAGTATTCATGATAATGATCGAGATTTTATTCAAACCCAAATTCTCTTGTAGTCCTGGCAACAGCGTAATGCTTAGAGTTCGCAGGAATATAAGAAGAGAAGAAGCAGAATCTTCAAATCCCTGTTTCATCGAGTCGAGATGCGGAATATTCAAAGATAATCCTCTTATTATCTGATTCTTCAGTTGTGTGTTGTGTTCTCTGTTATCTGCAGTAAGTATCCAGCCCAGAAAATTCACTAGTCTAGTGCGAGCACTTTCTAAGGAGACCATTGACGGGGTTTTGGGGATCGAACACGTATAGATGAAATCGTCCTATTACAGATGGGTGCGGTGCATGTTCTTAAAAAAATTGAAATATTCCAAATAACTGAATCTTCCGAGGTCTGATTCTAATAGAACGGAAAGGGCGAAAAATTGAGAATTCGACAATATATACCGCCGCGGGCTCCACCAAACCGTGAAAAAAACCATTAACAACCCTTCAACCCTCTCTAAATATTCCCCGCGTTGGTGGGATAGAAGAAAAAGCTAACAAATTCAATTGTCCAAATAACTGAAACTTCCAAGGTCTGATGAGAATTTGCCAAAAAATACCGCTGCGGACTCCACCGAACCGTGAAAAAACCAACAACCATTTCGACCCCCTCTAAATAATTCCTGCCCCTGTGGGATAGAAGAGAAAGCTACTTGGTCCGAAATTGACGGGCGTTTTGGGGCTCAAACACATGTAGATGAAGTCGTCTGACTGCATATTTTTGTTTTATAGGACAAGGTCTTTTAAAAATTGAGAATTCGCCAATAAATATCGCCGCGGGCTCCACCAAACCGTGAAAAAAACCATCAACAACCTTTCAACCCTCTCTAAATATTCCCCGCGTCGGTGGGATAGAAGAGAATTGACAGATGGTTCATGTTCTTGATGAATTTAGTCCAAATAACTGAAACTTCCAAGGTCTGATGAGAATTTGCCAAAAAAATACCGCCGCGGACTCCACCGAACCGTGAAAAAACCAACAACAACTCTTCAACAACCATCTCAAGCCCCTCTAAATATTTCCTGCCCCTGTGGGATAGAAGAGAAAGCTACTTGGTCCGAAATTGACGGGCGTTTTGGGACTCGAACACGTGTAGATGAAATCGTCTGATTGCAAATGGGTGCGGTTCATGTTGGGCTCCGAAGTGGACCTGCTTATCTTCGGATGGTTGCGCAGGAAGCCCTCCAGCGAGGTATGGATTTGCCTGAACAGGGGCCTCTCGTCCCTAAACACATCATCATCAACTTTATTAGTTCAGGGCAGGGAGCTTTGGGAGATTTGAAAGTTGCGCCAAGTATGGTGGATATGAATCTCTCAGAATAGGTTGGATCTACTGGACACTAGAGTGAGTAGAGAATGTCATTGATGGTCACTGAATAGCTAAAAATCTAAAGGGTACCTACCATGCAGTAATGAATTTGCGCCTTCGAAGTGTCCACCTGATATTAGGTTTAGATATTTGATATTTTCATTCCATCATCTGAATAATCTGAGACTTACAAGTCCCAAAAGACGGATTCTAATAAATATCCAAGGTACTGACGTATAGAGTTTGAAGCCTGATTGTTGCATGTTTTGTGTCCAAAGAGCAAAAAACAGAGACAAAACATTGACAAAGTGAAACAGAATGCGTAGAACTGAATGGAGAAAACAAAAACTTGTGGATGCACCTCCATTCTAGTTACCATGCAGCCGTCGTCGACTGAGCACGCGTGTTTCGAAAACACTGTTTTATTTACAACACCTTCATTGAAACGGGTCGTTCTGTGATACAAAACACAGAAACGATTCCGCAATCATTTTAACGTTGGCCGTCACGATCGAGTTCCGACATTTGAAACAATTATGAAGTGGGTGAATGCTTTCCAAAGAGACAGTTCTTGATTTTTTTTTCAAATTTCGGAAGTCGACCGTGCAACGTTGAAGAAATTGCGTAATCGTCTCTGTGTTCGAATCACAGAACAGCCCGTTTCAATCAAGATGTAAAAAAACACGCGATGCAATGGCAACTTGTGTCCAGTAGATACTAGCTATTCCGAGAACATGTAGTTGATATCCACCATACTTGGCGCCATTTTCAAATCTTCCATAACTCCCTGCCGGACCATTACTCTTAAATATTTCTAAGCTTTCATATGCATCTAATTTTCCAACTTTTTCAACTTGCTTAACTAATTTGAGATTATCAATATATGTGTTATGATTGTGATTGAACTTGTGTTCAGCTACACACGATTTATCTAACCTACCATATTTCAAATGTGCTAAGTGTTCTTTGAACCTTGTTCTTATGGGACGCCTGGTTTGGCCTATATATTATTATTATATTATAACAAGGGCAGAGGCATGGCCTATTTTGCCCAATAGATACTTAAGCTTAAAATTAGTTACAACTATTAATGTGTCAAGTCCAATACATTTCTAATGATACACTATTATTGATACCTAATTTAGTAATCACTGTAATTGTTGAAATTGCAATTGCAATTGCACCAAGTCGTAGCGGTTTTTGAAACTATTCACACTGGGAGCTGACACAACATCACGAGGTAATGCATTCCACTTTGAAAATACTCGATTTGACAGAAATTTTTGTCTGAGTGTGGTTCGAAAATGTTCTTGCTTTAACTTCATAGAATGGCCTCTCAATCTATCATCATTCTGTAGATGGAATAAGTTGGATAGGTCAACAGAGAAGTCATCGTGCAGAATTCTATACGTCAGAATAGCGTCTCCTCTAGCTCGTCTATCACTCAGCAAAGGAAGCCTTAGCCGAGATAGCCGTTGTTCATAGGAAAGATCCCTGAAACTTCTAACCATTCGTGTTGCATTGCGTTGGGCTCTTTCCAGAAGTTGAATGTCTTTCACCAGATGAGGATTCCATACCTGCACCGCATATTCAAGGTGTGGGCGAACATATGCTTTATAAAGCTTATTGAAGAGGCTTGGTTCAGGTTGGTCGAAGCATTTGTTAAGGAGGTATGTGCGACTGTTTGCCTTACGGACAGCTGCTGCTACTTGATTGGACACAGTTAGTTTCTTGTTGAAAATGACTCCTAGGTCGTTATGGTTCTCCACTGCAGGAATGATTTTATTACCTAGGTAGTAGTCTAGTTCTGGGTTAGTGGGGCCAACATGTAGAATAGAGCACTTGTCGATATTCAGAGGAATGTCCCACATGCCGCACCAGCTTTGTACTGATAACAGATCAGATTGTAGTTCGTCGAAACTGGATAGTGGGTTGCCAAAAAATTTGCTGTCGTCTGCGAAAAATGCATGGTCGGACCTTAGAGCGGTATGTAAATCTGATGCGTATGCCAAAAATAATGTTGGACCCAAGACCGATCCCTGGGGTACTCCAGACGTAACATCATGAGTACTAGAGTGACTGGTACCCACTCTCACTCTGAAAACCCTGTCAGAGAGAAATGCAGCTATCCAGCTATGGAGTTTTCCTCTGACACCAAAATGTTCAAGTTTATGCAATAGCTTATTCCGTGGTACCTTGTCGAACGCTTTGGAAAAGTCAAGGTATATAATATCGATGGGTGATGCGGAGTCCATTGATTTGGTCCATTTATCCAAGCAATAGAGCAGGTTAGTTGTTGTAGATCTTCCTGGTATGAAGCCATGTTGGGTGGGTGGAATCACGTCGTTCTCGAGCAGAAAAGGTAGTAGGACATCTACAATTATTCGTTCCATGATTTTAGCACACAAGGATACTAGACTTATTGGTCTGTAGTTACCAGGGTCAAGTTTATCTCCTTTTTTATAAATGGGGGTAACAGACGCAAGTCGCCAAGCGGAAGGGAGGCAAGAAGAGTGAAAGGAGGATTCGAAAATATGACTAAGAGGTACTGCGATGATTGATGCATATCTCTTCAGTATGAAGGCTGGTATATTATCTGGCCCAGGTGATACCCCTTCCTTGATATTCTTGAGCTTCTCCTCTACAGTTTCCACAGGAAATATAATATGACTCAGCGAGTTTGGACATCGTGGCGAAGCAATCGCAGGTAGGGCCGAGGTGTCCAATGGGGAGAATGATCTATCAAAGTTTCTGGCAAGTACTTCAGCAGCAACTTCGTTAGAGTCGCATAGAATTCCATTGAAATCACGTATTATAGGAACAGACATCTTTGAGGCAAGTTTACTTCTGGTATATTTGTAGATAGCTTTCGTTCCTTTTCCTGCGAGGTCGGATTCATATATCCGCTTAGCATTTCTCAAATCTCGAGAGAGGTCCTCGGAAAATAAGCGGTGTGCTTCGAAATCGTTATGGTCTTTTGTCACTTTGTACCTCGACCAGAGTCTTCTTTTCCTATAGGAACGGTTGATGAATGCATCATTAATCCAAGGTTTTTTGCTGTTTCTTCTTTTATCGATTTCAAATGAACAGCATTCCATCGCATTGAGAAGTGAATGAGAGAAAAACTCCCACTTGGTATCTACATCTGGGCAAACGAAAAGTGGCTCCCAGCTTAGTGAGTTCAATATGGTAGTCAGCTTTTTGTGATCAATTCGTTTTTGCTTAATAGTAGTATTACGAGATTTTTTATTTGTTATGATTTGTAAATCGCAAGTAATAACGATATGGTCTGAGCAGCCAATTGGAGATTCGGAGGAAAAGTTGTGGAATAAATTAGAATCATTTGTAATCAACAGGTCTATAAGGGATGGATTCTGGTTGGCTCTGTATCGTGTAGGTGAATTGATAAGCTGGGACAAACTACAATTGATCAACATTTCAACAAATATGGAGCTGGTGTCACGTGATTCAGGAATTTCATTCAGTGGCCATTTAAGTGATGGATAGTTGAAATCTCCAAACAGGACCAGGTTGTTTGAGGAATGGCTGATTCTATCAATTGTATCAATGAGTATCAAATCGGAATGTTGGGAGGATGATGGGGGTCTGTACACACATCCAAGAGTGAATGAGAAGTGCTCGGATGATAAATTAAGCCAGACATTTTCGATTTCAGGAATATCATGGTGAGTTTGCAGAATGGTGAATTTCACGAAGGCAGATTTTTTCAGGTACACTAGAACTCCTCCACCTCTTCGATTTGGTCGGTCGTGTCTGTAGATTTCATAGCCACTTAAGTTTATGATGGAGTCGGGTATGTTTCCAGCGAGCCAAGTTTCGGTGAGCGCAATACAGTCGGGTGAGTTGCTTTCGACAAATAGACAAAATTCCCTCCACTTGGCAGAAACAGACGCTATGTTTGTATATGCGAAGGTTAAATTTGAAATGGAAAATGATTCTAGTTTTTTGGATTCTTGACAATGGATGGGACTCCATGGGTATATTTAATGGTGAGATCGCTCTCGCCATTTGAAAGACGATATTTCAGCTCGTTCCGTAGGTCATCAAGTTCCGCAATCTGCATAGGTGTTTTATCATCATCAATTCGAATGTTTTTGTATTTTTCTGTTGATTTCAGAGACTTTTTATTACGCAAAATCGTAGTGGCAATTTTGTTAGAGTTGAAGATAATTTTAAGAGGGCGGTGTTTATTATCTTTGATTTGTCCAACTCTCATCATTCTGGACGGGACTTCAGTGACATTCAGCAGGGTCAACATTTCGGTAACAGATGTCTTGTCGTGATTTTCATCCTTCTCGGCAAGCCCATACATCATGATATTCTTCGTGCGCGATAAACGCTCATTTAGTTCTTGGCCTGTATATGTTTTATAACTTATTTCATATATTCCTGTTTTCGCATGGGTGTCCACCTTATCTTCTGGATTACCTAATAAATTGACTAACTTTTACCCAGATTGATAAACGCTTTCAAACCCTAAGTCTTTGAAAACCTTTGTCTATTCACGGTTGGGTGGACATATTCTTAGTATATAAATAGCCTCCTAGAGTAGAGCATTTAGCAAAACACGTGTCGAGGTGTAAAAAATCGGTTGTTTAGTGGTAAAACAGTGTGTAGTATGTACTCAGGATGTGGGCAGTACTATGCTCATCAAAAGTAGCCTAACAGATACTTTGTGAGCCTTCCCCAGGAAACCGTATCAAACTCACGTGTCCTAGAATGGTCAATATTATGCTGAGTTCCGCTATCGCCGTCTATGAACCAGCCAAGAACTAAGGCCGAATCGGGCCTCAACATCTTACATGAAGGTGGATCATCTTGTTAACCTGAATAATCGAGGTTATCATCTCACCTGTTGTACTTGATGCAGTCTTCGGTGAGTCGCCTCAGCGCCTTCGGGGTGTCCGACCGCAGCTTGGCGAGGTCGGGCTTGAGAAAGCCCCTGCCGACCATGAACAGGATCTGGTCCTTGTTGTTGACCTGCGAGTAAGGCAACTGGCCTGCGAGCATCTCGAACAGGACGATTCCGAACGCGTACACGTCAGACTGTAGACAAAAATATGACTTCTTTCTACTACCTTACTAAAAAACTTCATTTTAAGCCTCTAAAGGGAGGAATCGAGGGGTAGATAACTCGTTGAAACTGGTGTACACTGGATAAGTGAGTACCTGTTGATTAAATTTGAGTAATTTCCAGACTTCTTGAGACATCTTGAGGCATTTGAGACATTTTGATTACATTTGAGATGTTTTTCATTAAAAGTGAGACTATTTTATTACATTTGAGACGATTTGATTACTTTTGAGACAATTTGATTACTATTGAAACGGACTGCATTTGAAACTTGTTGATTACATTTGAGATGTTGTTCATTCAATTTTGAGTATTCAATTGCATTTGATTATAGGTTGAGTACAGTTGATTAATTGAGTATTGATTATGGTGTACTCATTTCGCTGGAGCTGTCTACCCCTCGGGAGGAATACTATATTTCATTACGGGTCTGGAAATACGGATTTTTCCTTGCGCGTGTGACAAATTCTCGTGGACGAGTAATGAACGATATTTTTTAATACACTTCGGTGAAAATGAAAATATAATAATAACATATTACATAAAGAAGGCACAAAACAAACATTGGAACATTATTGTTCTTACAGTTGTAGGAATGAAAAAACTTGGAACAACTAGACCTGGATTTCACTGGTAATAAATTTGCGGTCGCTTGTGCCGCTTGTTCTAGGATTTTATTGCGAATTTCGGGATTTTCTTCAGAGTTCATTTTGTCGGCATGAAGATTTTCAGAGAATAAACAATGCTGACAATACAGTGTTTGGCATGATTCGTTTCCATGGTTATTCCCAAAGTTTTTCCGTGCGCTCTTTCCGTGCGATAGCCCGAACAATCTTACAATATTACAAATACAGATGAAAACACGTTGATTTCAAAGAAGTGTAATAACCCTGGCGAGAGACAAAGTACTATGTGAGAACAAACATTTACCTCCCTTCAACTCTTTGATAAACTAGTTTTTTTTTACCTTGCCTGTTTCATTCTGTCAACAACAAGTTCGTTTTTTTTTAGTTATTTTTTTGTCGCCGACAATCGAAAGTGTGGACTTGAAAGTCCGCTATTGATTCATAATTGGAAGATCAAAAGTATCTAACAGTGTTTCTGTTCAACGTAGACAATCTACTGTGATTTCACAAGGGTTCCAGAGCGCACGATACGAAACTACGAGATTCCTGCTAGCAGTAGGATTCTAGGCCACATCAACATTGTTTTCCTTGAAATAAACCATTAATAAATTCATCTGACTTTCAATACAAATCCTGATATCTTGAAAGATTCTATTACATATTTGGCGCCCAACGTGGGGCTTGTGTAGAGGCGTAAGTTAGTGTTTTTCTTGATGGAAATTCGAGGAATATAAGTTTGTCAGACCTGTCATCAATAATTTTTATGTTGTCAAAATGCTGAAACTTAGGAGAAACGGTAAAAACAACATATATAATGATTGCCTGTTTCATTCTGTCAACAACAAGTTCGTTTTCTTTTAGTTATTTTTTGTCGCCGACAATCGAAAGTGTGGACTTGAAAGTCCGCTATTGATTCATAATTGGAAGATCAAAAGTATCTAACATTGTTTCTGTTCAACGTAGACAATCTACTGTGATTTCAAAAGTGTTCCAGAGCGCACGATATGAAACTACGAGATTCCTGCTAGCAGTTGGATTCTAGGCCACATCAACTTTGTTTTCCTTGAAATAAACCATTAATAAATTCATCTGACTTTCAATACAAATCTTGATATCTTGAAAAGATTCTATTACATATTTGGCGCCCAACGTGGGGCATGTGTAGAGGCGTAAGTTAGTGTTTTTCTCGATGGAAATTCAAGGAATATAAGTTCGTCAGACCTGTCATCAATAATATGTAAGTTGTCAAAATGCCGAAACTTAGGAAAAATGGTAAAAACAACATATATAATGATTGTAAGAGTCAGAAAAATCTAATTTAGATGAGATATTATATAAATTGACCGATGGCATGAAGACACTTGCGGGGGGGAGGGTTTCTATAAGTTGACTTTAATAGACAATAGAGCATATTCTCTCTCTATTTCTCTTTTTCTCTAATCGAACCTGGAAGCTGTAGGGCTGGTCCTCTTGCATCCGAATGACCTCCGGCGCCATCCAAAGGATCGATCCGGTGGGCTGGTGGAATTGCTGCGATCCAGACCATCGCGTCTTTGCCGTGGCCAGGCCGAAGTCGCCGATTTTCACCGTGAGGTCATCGTGCAGGAAGATGTTGTTGGACTTGAGGTCGCGGTGGATGATGTTCTTTGCGTGGAGGTAGTCCATGCCTTGCGCCGTTTGCCTACCTGTTAAAATACCGATTCTTCAGTACTTGTATGACCCTGCGATAATCAAGGGAGTGAGCGGAAGGTGCTTCCTTCAAATGACTTACCAATTTCTATTAATGTAAACAACTGAAACCGGATTTCGTGTACATGTAGATGCTTATACAAGCTAGATCCTTCACACCATTGCGTCACAATGGCTAATTTGGGTTTACTAACGCATCCCATGAACAGTAATATGTTCACGTGCCTCGTTTTCCTTAATACGGCCACCTAAAACAATTAAATATTGCATTATGATGACAACTTTTTTTCCTTTATATCTCCAATATTTAATTGAGTTGCCTTAAATGACAATCAACTTTGAAGCTGACGTGCATTATGTTTTCTTGGGTGTGATCATTTGAATCACTCCTATTATCCATTAATTTGCTATATCTATGAAGAATATTGATTATCTGTCAATGATTCCGCAGAGTGATCCCCACCATTCACGATTTCATTCATTTATCCGTGTTAGGCGTTTAGGACTCTTGGCGTATACTTTTCAATGATTTATTTACTCGGAAGGCAGCTAAACAATATCCTTTTCATACAAAGAGAAACAGTAATGAAAAAATTGAGAAATCTGTCTGATAACCTCATTTTTGAAGATCTGCAACTGCGCCACCGTCGGTATCTTCACATTCGGTGTCTTTACAGCCACCTAGCAATAGGTCCGCATAGTTATCCCCACCATTCGCGATTTCATTCGTTCACCCATGTTTGGAGATTAGGATTATTGGCGTCTATTTTTTTAAGGTTTATGAATGATTCGCGGTGTCTGTTCTTATTTAGTTTGGGGGCGAAACAATATCATTTCAATTATTATGAAAAAAAGGAGTAGAAAAAATGGAAAATCTGTGTAATACCCTCATATTTGAAGACCTGCACCTGCGCCACCGTCGGCATCTTAACATTCACCAGCACCATTCGCGATTTCATTCATTTAACCGTGATTGGCGTTTTGGATTGTTGACCTACACATTTCAATGATTTATGAAACAATATCTCTCTTATTCTTATACGAATAAAAACAGTGAGAAATTATTGAAAAATCTGTGTAATAACCTTATTTTTGGAAGCCTGCAAAAGCGCCACCGTCGGTATCTTAACAATGAATGTCTTCACGGCCACCGGCATGTACCATTGAGCCTTGGGGTTTAGGATTGTTGGCGAATACTTTTTAATGATTCATGAATGACCCGCGGCGTCTATAATAATATGTTGTTATTTGGTCTGAGGTTTATTCCTAACTGAACAACCGGCCACAGGATGAGTTGGTTTGTAGATAAGTAGAATCATGATGAGTATAATGAAATATTGAAGTATCTGTTACTATATTTGGTCGGAAGCTGAATCAATCAAGTTGAACCTAGGTATTTATAAATCTGGTAATGATTCCGCAGGTATCCCCACCATTCGAGATTTCATTCATTTATCCCTGCTTGGCGTGTACTTTTCAATGATTCATGAGTGAACAGCAGGGTTTCTATTGTTATTTAGTCCGAGGGTGGAACAATACCCTTCTTATACAGAGAAAAACAGTGAGGAAAATGAAAAAATCCATGTAATAACCTCATTTTTGAAAGCCTGCAACTGCGCCACCGTCGGTATCTTGACATTGAGTGTCTTCACGGCCACCGGGCCGTGCCAATGGGCCTTGTAGACAGTCCCGAAGGAGCCCGATCCCACCCTGCCTCCCACCAGGATCTCGTCGGCGGGGATCTCCCAATCTTCGATGCTCTCGCGGGGGGCCAAAAGGGGCTTGCTCTCGTCCGCCGATCGGGCCCGAGGGCGACGCGGTTGGAGGGAGCCCGTGGGGGAGGCCTGGGTGCTGCGGCAGTGGGGGGAACAGGCGCCGTCCGCGTTGGGTCTGGGGGAAACAGAGGATTATTCGGGGGAAACATAGGATTATTGCGGGAATCAATGTTACCAGGTGGCGCTCGGTTTTTTATCGTTCCATGTCAAAGCCACGTCAAAACTGGGGGAAAATAAACTTAATCCTCACTCAATCCCATTAGTGCCATTAGCTTGTGTAATGTGTACTGATAAGAGTGATAAGTTCTTGAATTTCTTGACATTAATTGTCAATATTCGATCGGAAATGCTTGTTGTAGATGTTCTTTTGGCAGATATTTTGTTCTATTTAGATGGAAAAAGCCGACCAGAAGGAGAAGCAGTTCTCCGTGCTTATCATGTGATTAGTGAGGCAGAAGACTTCAACAAAATGCGCATTTTTGCACTTTGTCTACAAACTTCGGCGATGAAATCTTCCCCACATGAAGTAAAATTGAAGTTGGGGTCCAGAGGAACTCCTGTAGAACATTGGATTTGTATTTGTTCCTGCAAAGCAGGACAATCTGGGTATTGTAAACATGTTGTATATCTTCTTTTATATTTCAATTAGTCATCATCAGTTTGAATTGTTTGTACTATCTCCAATTCTTCACCCGTTCACTGTTCACTGAACTAATAAAAATGTGACAATTTAAAAAAATTTACTAACTCAAACATCATCACTACCAACAGTGCCAATACTTTATGGCTGACAAGTTTGACTACAGCTACAGCAAGCTGAATGCAATTTAATCTATGCACTTTATCCATAGACAACAGTTTGTTTTCCCCCAGTTTGAAGGTCGTATTAAGTAACCTAGATGTCGCCCACTTCGTGAATCTCGCGAATTTTATTTGGTCCAGAAATTAGTTGATTTCGTTATTTTTAATGCAAAACAGCTTTATTAAACTACTCACCAGATGAAGTGGGACAGCCAAAAAATTGACTAATTTTGAAAAGCTATAACTCAAACATCTTTTGGCCGATGTTGGATTTCCAATCAAAGGTAGAAAGCGTCATCCTTGGGGTGTGCGTCATTGGCGTCGGGTTTTTATTTTTGGGATTCGTTCTCTTTCTACAGAGTGTGAATTAAGAGCCGGAAAAATTTTAAATTGTTTACCAATAATTTGGGAAATGTGAGGGACCCTAGAATTCGTTTCTGGATGTTGGGTGAATGGTTGGTCCCATACCTTGAGACGTCTGAAGTTTTTTTGATAACTTGGTATGGAAAAATCGACAATTTACGGAATTCCATTTTTATTTTAAAATGTAGCCTCGTTTAGTTGAACAATAACAGCCAACATCTAAACTGCAAAAAGGGTTTCTGATATTTAGAAACAAAAAATTCGTTTTTATTTAAAAAATTCAACGGTTTCATTGCTCGTTACAGTTGCAGAGGTGTCATACCATGGATTAGCATGATGTTGACAAATTCAGAGGCGTGCAAAATAAGGGGCTCATGATATTTAGAAACAAATTTTTCATTTCTAAATATCATAAACCCCTTTTTGCGCGCCACTGGTGTTAATTATCTTCAGTAGAAATATCCCTTGTTGCACTTCAGATGTTGGCAGTTATTGTTTAACTAAAAAATTTTAGAAGAAAAATGGAATTTCATAAAATGGCGATTTTTTCATAGCAACGCAATTAATCAAAAAAATTTCAAAGACGTCTCCAGGTATTGGACCAATCATTCACCCAACATCTGAAAAATAATTCAGGGGTTCCCCATATTTCCCAATTATTGGTCAAAAATTTGAAATTTTTCCGGCTTTTAGTTCACACTCTGTAGAAAGAGAACGAATTGCAAAAATAAAAAGCCGACGCCTATGACGCATACCCCAAAGATGACGAATTCTACTTTTGGTTGGAAATCCAACATCTGCCAAGAAATGTTCGAGTAATAGCTTATCAAAATAAGTAAATTTTTTGGCTGTCCCACTTCATCTGGTAAGTAGTTTAGTTGAAATAAATGTTAATTACTAAAATGTTCAATGTAGTTTGACAACATCCTGTGTTTTAGTTATGTCTATTTATTATGTCTATGCCTATTTATTTTCCACTATACAGGGTCATTCAAAATTTATGATTTTACTGATGCAAAAAAGTTGCAAAGTACATTTTTTCAAATGGAATACCTGTATATCATCAGATATTTCATAGGATAAATGTCTTTTGGGATGATGTATCATATTTCTATACCTGAATTGTCAGATTTTTGAAATAAAAGTAAGGTTCTATGAAAATTTGATTATTTCTTCATATTTTGTATTGGGTAGCTATGAAATCTTGGTCATTCCATATTCAAATACTTAGGAAACAAATATCTCTCCCATTGTTGGTATGTTAAATAAATTGAGGTCTTCCATACTACTTAATTTGTTAAAATTGATTCATTTCAGTTTGATTTAGTCTAAATTGCAGTATTTGATATTGGTCTGGTGTAATGCTGCAAAAATCTGATTTGAAACCTCTGATATCTCTCCAACAAAATAAAGCCATAAAAAGTACTTATACCATTTTTCCAATCTACATCTAGCCTATACCCTTGATTATTTACACTACTCAATGCATATACAAACCAAGGGTTCTGCTAAATATTGAATTTCTATTCAAAATGAAAGTGTGCTGTATCCAATTCACTGAAAACAAAAAATTAGTAAAATTACTTGAATCTTATCTTCATCATCAATGTTAATAACCCATTCAAGAGTCAACTGAAGAAATTTACTAGATCAATTCAACTCTCTTCTTTATATTGAATAATTCTGATTCAACTGTTAATCTTCCAATGAATTAGATATTAGATTTTTCATTTTTTTGGCACTAAATATGCAGTATGGAATTCAAAGTAAGCACATTATACTTGGAAAATATAGTTGTAGCTGTAACCTACCTATTCAATGACAGAGAACTGGGACACTCATCTCCAGCTCCTTTGACACTATTCAAACAAACATTTGGAGCTGAACTGGATCTATCATGATGTCCAAGGGTGCCAGGGTGTCTGGACTGTCTATGAGGGGGCCCTAGCTCTGCTTGACCAGCATAAAGTATGCCAGCACTACATTCTGGTGGTCTGGCTAGCAAAGCTCTATAATAGGCATCTGCCATACGAACCTAGAGTGAAGAAAAACAGGAAAAATGGAAAAAATTAGTGAAAGTTCAGTTTTCATTAGTGTCATTCATTTGGAGCATCATAGAAAGCTTCTGAGAGTTCATTACATAACCTAAAACAGAACAACTACTAGTTTCCCTAAGGATATAGGGTGATACAAATGATAATATAGTACTTACTTGATGGCATAAAGAGGGAACACCTGCTGCACACCTTTGATGAAATTTATACCCACAAGTCCTACAATAAAACCCCTGAAACAATAACCTTCTGCAGCACTCACAAAATGCCAAAGAAAAATATGTCTTCCTAACAAAGTTATGTGAGATGCTTGTAGCAATAGGAAATTTATCTATTATTTTCACAGTGATCTCCTCACAGTTCAGTGTACTAATATCAACATCCCAATTCACTAAGATAGTAGAATCTCCCAGATAAACACTGCACACTTCACACACCAGATTCCTCAGTTTCATTGCTTTTGCTAAGGCCTCCCGTAGGCTCATGCCCTCCCTTACTTGCACACTGGTTCGTTGTTGGTTGGGCAGATGAGCCCTCAAGAACTTAGGCCTGGTTAAAGTGTCATACTGTGGTTTGGCCTCGAACAGCACCGGGTAGTACTGCTCGCTCAAGTCCTCGGGGCTCTCTCTGCCATTACTAAGCTGTTCCATCAGTCTCATTTCTTCGGCTTCTAGCTCATGTAGCTTGGAAGTCAAATCGTCGTACTCTTTCAGGTACATGGCTGGAGGATGTTGGTAGTCGGCGAACTTGGCATTGAGAGCGTCTATGTTGGCCCTAGTCAAGCTTATCACGTTCTCTATGTTTTGGAGTTTTTGCTGAATGTCCATATCGTCACTGTCCGTCGACATTGTGTCGGTTTTGTCAAGCGCATCAGACACGGGGACTGCGCTTCCATTCACGATTTTGCCGGAAGGGTTTTGCTTAGCAGAGTCTTGTAAAACAGCCATTTGAGCCATTGCACTTTCCCATTTTTGAGATGTACGTACTTGTCAATTTTTTTGGGATTGTCATTATTTTTTTTAACCTTGCTCCACTTGACGTTTAATTGACAGGTGCCATTCGTGACATTTATTTTGGCAGTGGATATACGTCCTACAGTCGGACTATTACCTATGATTTGGATACGAGTGCCTGCAGACAGTTTCCACATAATCATCCAAAATTTGGCTGCCAACGTACGAATGTGCACGTGCTGTGCATAAGATGCAAGATTTGATGGTAGAGTGAGCCAAGTATGCCAAACCTACGGCACAGGGTTCAGCCATTGCGAGTAACAGCTTTTTAAACCTAGTTAGGTTGGATCGTTTATGAAAAGTGGTCTGTTTTGTTTAGGGTCCCTTGATGGAAATTGACGTTAAAGTCATCTTAACAGGGTACGGACAGATCCTCGTCTCCTCTCACTCTAAAGTGTTTGTGAAACAGTTATATAGTTCCATCCTTATTCAATTCTGGGGATAAACACTAGATTTTTGACATTCGTTGTTCTTTAGGTTATATTGAGGTCACTGGCGTATCATACGTAATTTCTATATGGAATTCCTGATTCAACTATACCAAGATAAAGCTGAACAATCCTCTAGTTTTAGAGTTTACTACTCCAGCATAATCTTTGCGATTTAGGGAACATATAAATTACTGAATACTGAAAGCTCAATATATTTCACCAAAAGAGACTGTTCTTAGACTGTATACCAGGGTAATTGACTGAATAAATTCTGATTTCAAGCTGATCAGTAGTTTACCTATGAGCTGAATGAGCTGAGCCTTATGATTGAGAAATGGTGGAAACCTCGATGTGGGTATCTGGACTACTGTACTCATGTCATGTGTGCTAAATGTATTTTCAGAAATCCAACTCAGAGAAGAATTCATGGAGTTACTAATATCACACTATGTAAAAGACTTCGTCTAGGACGAAAAGTAGGCTGATAAAAATTAATACGTAAAATGTGCAGGAAAATAAAGAATAGAATATACTTCACCCCCATGTTATACATATGATTTTTCCGACTCTTTTGAATAGAGAGTCATTTTCGAATAATTTATTGATGAAAGTAACAAGGAAGTAGGTATACGTTAAGTATACACAGTATAACTTATAGGCACGTTATTTTCACTCTTGCATTCTACATATTTTCTATTTGTGGTAGAGTAATAATCATATAAACTAATGTCTTTCGCCATATTGGATCCGTCATCTTGAATGTTTGAATTTTTGACGAAACAATCATTATCTCCTACCCCGAAAACCCCCAGATATCAATTTTGAATAGAATCGGATCTTCATTACAAAACTCATCCACCATATTGGATCCGCCATCTTGAATATCCCAATTTTGACGAAATAATTATAATCTTCGACCCCGGAAATCCCCAGATACCAATTTTGATTTTTGAATAGAATCGGATCATAATTACAAGTTTCGTTCGCCATATTGGATCCGCTATCTTGAATTTCCCAATTTTGACAAAAAATCATAAAGTTCCACCCCGAAAACCCTCAGATACCAATCTTGAATAGAATCAGATCATAATTAGAAATTTCGTTTGCTATACAGGGTGTTTCATAATTGAATGCTGATCCTAAAAAGGGCGATAATCCTTGGATGATTTTAAGAAAAATTCTTCATGTGAACATAGGTCCGTAACAGCTTCGTTTCTGAGATACAGGATGTTGAAATTTAACAAAAAAATCAGTTATTCCCCAATATCTCTGGAACCGCTCTGGCTTTTTTCTTCAATTTTGGTACATGCCGAGTATGAATAGAAATACATTTTTTCCATGATGAAGGATTTCTTAATTTCCATCAGTGGCGTCCCTGTTAACATACCCTGTCATATTTTTCATCAAAATGATGATACGCCACTGTCTTTTTCTTCAAATGAATATTATTTTTGTAATTATCCTCTATCTTCTCGTAAAAATGGTCCTCTGTCTTTTTTTCGTCCGGCGAACGGTTTTTGAGTTAGAAAATAAAATGCATTCTTTTGCTTGTCCCTATTCGATTTTTACTCTTAGTCATAATTTCACAATTGTGGTAGCCAAAAGATCTGAGCAACATTTTTATAATTTTATGGTAACTATTTTCAAGTATTTGTAATGAAGATAAAAGCCAGAGCGGTTTCAGAGATATTGGGGAATAACTGATTTTTTTGTTAAATTTCAACATCCTGTATCTCAGAAACGAAGCTGTTACGGACCTATGGTCACATGAAGAATTTTTCTTAAAATCATCCAAGGATTATCACCCTCTAGGATCAGCATTCAATTATGAAACACCCTGTATATTGGATCCGTCATCTTGAATTTTCCAAGTTTGACGAAACAATCATCATCTCCAACCCCAGAAAACCCACAACCCACATACCTTCCAACTTTGAATAGAATCGGATCATGATTACAAAACTCGTTCGCCATAAATGATCTTCCTCAACAAGTTAATACCCTGTACATAACTATAATTAAAATGTTGAATGATTTTCTGTAGCGCCCATGGATGTGACGTGACAGCAATGTCAGGGATGCCAGTAGACAAAACTAAAATCTCTAGATCATTAAAAAAGAATGCAGCTATGATCTGTCCGTACCCTGTTATGATGACTTTAACGTCAATTTCCATCAAGGGACCCTAGTTTTGTTCTCTGGTGATTTTCCGAAGGATGTTATTTTTTTACGAAGGTTAATTAATTTACGCCTAGTTAGGTAAGATTGTTGAAAAAACCTTCCTATCTTACTGGCTATATTCCGAAATCAACTGATCATTGGTCAGTTCTGTCAATGGATCCACTAACTGCTGAAAATGTTGTTCCGATCTATTTCATCAGCAGCAGTTGATCAGCTGGTGAATTGTAAGCTGTCAGGTTGTCACTTCTGTAATTTCTAGTTCATCTGACCAATTATTTGAATATCAGGAATTTTCTGATAACAAAACTGATATTATTAATTTATTATTGATAAGACCAGACTTATTATTAAAAAACAACGTAAATAAATGTGGCATCCCTTCCACCTCTTATATATATATACAAACCAATGAACCACTATTGGGTCACATTCAATATGATCTGAATAATACCCGCGAACATAAACATCTCTGTTTATGTTCGGTGATAATACCATCCAGTGACTCTAATATCCCTGAGATCATAAAAGTTATTTGCATCCTCTCTTATTCCTGGTCCGAGACTCTCGTAGAAATTCAGGTCATCTATTTCTAATGAAATGACAAATGACGTAGACTGCACATACCGCATAACTTCAATCAGCTGTCATGAGTGACATGACTGACAAGTGGCATTCTGTCTAATGCTAAAAAGTCAGAAACAAATCCTGAAAATAATTCAATTTTATTGCAAGTAATCATGGCTTCGGAGCGGTATAGTTTTTCTTTAACAACTTTTAGGTAAATTTTAGTGACATTTTTATTTGATATCTTTTACTCAAATTACAATTTTTCCAGCCCTTCTGGAAAACTTGTCCAGATCGAGTATGCCTTAGCTGCTGTAGCTGCCGGAGCCCCTTCAGTTGGAATCAAGGGTGAGTTTTGATAGCAGCTCTTATATTATGATTACAATTACAATTACAATTTTATAGCTTCAAATGGGGTTGTGATTGCTACAGAGAACAAACATAAATCCATTCTTTATGATGAACATAGTGTTCACAAAGTGGAGATGATAACCAAGCATATTGGGATGATATACTCTGGAATGGGACCAGACTACCGCCTTTTGGTCAAGCAGGCCCGTAAAATGGCTCAGCAATACTATCTTGTCTACCAAGAGCCCATTCCAACTGTTCAACTGGTAATACTGATATATTTTATTAGATTCATTCATTTAACATGCAGCAATTATCTTCTTAGGTTCAAAGAGTAGCTGCTGTCATGCAAGAGTATACTCAGTCAGGAGGTGTGAGGCCTTTTGGGGTTTCTCTGCTCATTTGTGGATGGGACAGTGATAGGCCTTACTTATTCCAGTGTGATCCATCTGGGGCATATTTTGCATGGAAGGCCACTGCCATGGGCAAAAATTATATCAATGGAAAGACTTTCTTAGAGAAGAGGTGAGTTACATTTTCAAAACTGTGAATTTTTTTCTCCTAATGATTTTTTCTGAGCTATCCTTATGTTTTCCTTGATTTGCAGGTATAGTGAAGATCTTGAACTAGATGATGCAGTTCATACAGCAATTTTGACTCTGAAAGAGAGTTTTGAAGGACAGATGACTGCTGACAATATTGAGGTAGGAATTTGTGATGCCAGTGGATTCAGAAGACTGGACCCATCTCATGTTAAAGATTACCTAGCTAATATTCCATAATTTGATTGATTTCCTGATGCTGATTTTAATTTCCATTAAATAATCTTCTTGTATTGTATTCTCATGTATTTTGTATGGAGTATAGTAAACAATTACTTATTAAAATGGTTGGAAAAGAATATTAATTTCATTTACCCAATCTCTGGTCAGGAACCTTGAAGCCAAATCTGAAGGCTCCTACCAACTGGCTCCCTGTATATGAGTTTTCAGTCCAATCTGAAGCCATGAAAGGGCCTTCAAATTTGGTATATGGATGCCCTGATGCAGAGTAGAAGCACAGCTCTCTAGATTTTGAAGAAAAAAGGTGCCATTTTTTACCTTTTTTTCATTTCTTGTGGTACCTTTAATATAAAGTGGCACAATCCAATACCTCAATCGACTGGAGATTGATATGAGCATTACTGAATCTGGCCAAACTTAATCAAATCACGTATTTTTCCATCAAAAAGAAAATCATTGGCCATCATCTCAGAGATTTTTCAGATTTTTTTATAGTTTTTAATCGACAATATCACAGGAATTGAATGGGTTTCTGAGAAACTAACTTCAGATTCTTGTTCAGCACATTAAGAATTAACACCCTGTATACAAATTTCCAAGCCATTCTGACGCCAAATATCTGAAAAAAGTTGAAAGGTATAACCTTGTTTCTTTTTCAGACCCAAAAATCAACTTTGTCGTAGAGCCTTCAAATTTGGTATACATGTTTCTTTATGGGATGCCCTAATGCAAAGTAGAAGCACTGAGCTCTAGCTTTCATAATGCATTTCTTCAATTGCGGTACCTTTAATATAAAATGGCGAGATCTAGTACCTATCTGAATTGATTGGAGATCGATGTCTTGGAGAACTACTGAATTTATGGCAAAACTGAATTGATTCTTGGCCAACATTTCAGCTTTCAGCGATCTTCCGGACGTTGTTTTTAATTTTTTGATCGCAAATATCTCAGGAACCCAGCGAGATAAAGAGAAACGGACTCCAGATTCTTGTTCAGCATATCGAAAACACCCAGTCTGCAAGTTTTCAGCCCATTCTGACGGTTCGAGTAGGATGAAAAAAGTTCAAAGGGGTTAACCTTGTTTCTTTTTCAGACCCAAAAATCAACTTTATCGTAGTGCCTTCAAATTTGGCATACAGGGTTCTTAATGGATGCCCTAATGCGGAGTTGAAGCACAGCTCTCTAGCTTCTGGAGAAAAAAAGTTGCCATTTTGTACCTGCACCTATTTCCTTGCGGTACCTTTAATATAAAATGACACGATCCAGTACCTCAAGTGACTGATGGAGATCGATGTCATAAAAATTACTGAATTTTTGGCGAAACTAAATTAATTCACGTATTTTTCCATCGAAAAGAAATGTAATGTCCATCATTTCAGCGATCTTTCAGATTTTTTTTCAGATTTTAATCTACAATATCTCAAGAACTGAATGAGTTAGAGTAAAACTAACTTCAGATTCTTGTTCAACACATCGAGAACACCCTGTATACAAATTTCCAGCTCATTCTGACGCTCCGAAATATGCAGAAAAAGTTCAAAGGGGTTAACCTTGTTTCTTCTTCAGACCCAAAAATTTACTTTGTCCCAGAGCCTTCAAATTTTGTATTTAGTACCTTTTAGGGATGCCAAAGTGCGGAGTAGAAGTATACAGCAGCCCTCCAGCTTCAATTAAAAAAAATCGAGATTTCACCCCATTCTGCTGAAATAAATGGGAATCGAGTTGATGGAAATCGCATACGAAATCCAGTGTGTTGAGACAATGTCTGCGATTTTGAACCACATTTTTTCGCTTCTTAAAATGCTTATAACTAAAAACTAATTAAGTTACACGTGAAAATCGACGGTATATATATTGGTGTTCAGCACTTCGAGAACATCCTGATGTATACCTGTCCTTCTGTTTTCAGCTCATTATGATACCTATCAAAAATCAGAAAACTTCCGACACAAAAATCAACGTTGTCCTAGTGCCTTTCAAATGGCTTTTGATACTGAAGAATATGTCATGAGAACAAAAGGAATTTATGGAGAAACTAAAATTACTTAATTTGTGCAAAAAAAAAATCTTGCCAATCATTTCAGCGATCTATCGGACAATTTTTGGTCGCAAATATCTCGGGAACCAAGTGCGATAAAGAGAAAAATCCACTCAAGTATGTCAGGTAGTGCCATCTGTCAGCAGAGTGGTTTACTTGAAGCAGAGATCAGTCACCCACTTGACTGATCTCTGCTTGAAGTACCACTCTGTAGCGTATACACGTAGGGGTCTGTACGTGTGACAATAGATGGCAGCGCCATACAGTATGTGTCGCGATCTCTGGATCCTACCATAGAGCTTCGCCACTAGATGGCTATACAACATGACTATAACTTCATGATACCCTGCGTCTTCGAAATGGGTGATATAAGTACCCGAAGCATATGGATGTCCCAGTTGTCAGCAGACCGAGAGAGGCTGATGAGATCTGGTGGGTCGAAACAGTACTGTCTCACGCCTGCTGACAATTGGGACAACTCTGTTCATCCTGGATCTCTTATTAGTTATGAGATCTAGCAATTTATGAAAATGTTCTTATCTTACTCTCCCTCCTCTTCGATCTCGGGATAATTTTCTATCAACAAAAACATTCGTGAGCTTGGAAAACATTATCGGCAATAATTATGCTGCTAGGGAGATTTATAAGTGATTATTTCGTATTGGTATCTCTTTGCCAACAGAAAGGAATTTAACGAAAACAGAAATTGCATTCTACGAATAATATCGTGCTCATTTTCAATAAACTTTGAGGGTGATAGAAATGATACACGATGAATTTATGTAATACATATTTATTTTATTTCCCATCATTTGGACCCTATACATTTTTTTTAAATAACTAAGTACGTTGTCAGGTAATACAATATTTGTATGGAATGCTTCTTTTTGTAATAGAGGGGCAAGATGGTGGGGTGGGTTTTATTCCATTATCTGACTAGTATCAACAATATAAATGACCCCCCCAGAAGGGGCCAGATTTACCCAGTATGTTGTTCACTTGTACTTATATACTTCTAGACCAACAAATTTTCAACACATTTTACATTAAACTAAGTTTACGATGCCTACTAACTGTCATTATTACAATAAAGATATGCATTCCCTGGTCGCCAGGACTACTAAGGCTAGATACGAGGACTTTTTTTGTCCTCCCTGTTTGCTTCACAGTAAACACAAGAGCGTATCTGAAACCCTTCAAAATATAAGTGCCTATTATTTCATTATGAAACATTTCTAAGAAATATAAATGATTATTTTCCTCCTATGATTATAAACCAATCAGAACGATCAAATGAGTAAAATGAATAAGTACTTATAGTACTACTACTGAAAATTTTGACGTCTAAAAAATTGCTACGATTGAACAAAACGGAAAAAATATAGATGTTTCATTATTTATTTATTTATTCATTTATAAACTCTCCACCGAAATATCTCGCATGGGCTGATTCTCCTATCAGAAATAAAGAGAATAGTTATCAGTTCATCAACATGTTCCAATATTGTTACAATTCCCGGAAAATGCGCCAAGAAGAAGAGCAATTTTTTTATGTTAACATAGAAGGCCTACTTATTTTTTTTGTTTCAGGGAGATAGGTAGCGATGGAGTTTATATAAGTAACACCCATTATATGTTGATAAGCACCAACTTTGCGATTTTTGAAGAATCATATCGCTTCAAATAAGCAATCGGTTTACTGTCTTGCTGGTTTATATAAATGCTACTCAGCAGCTGCTCACTTTTTTTCAACTACCACCGTATACTTACGCAAAGTTGATGGTAGCGGTTCGATTCTATGGTAAATAGTAAATAATCTACCAAATGAAAATTTTAATCAACCTAGCAAAGCTATTGACTATGATTGCTCTATCAGACATTCACTGAAGGAGACCAAAATATGCAGCATCTGAATCAGATGGGACTTAAAAACCACCGTGTATAGAAGCAGACAAAAATCATTGTTGAATCAAAAAGAGTTACTCATAATTATGAATATCTTACAAATTTCATTTTGAACATTCATTATAATGTTGATATTCTGAAATTTATCACTTGAAGAATAACAATATATATACTCGAAAAAAAATTGACTTTGTCATAATTTCTCATCCCACTGATTCAGTATTTAACCAGGGCAAAGATCACTAAATTAAAACAGGTTTTATAATACCTAAGTGAAACAGTGTTAATATAGGTAATCAGTTTGGTAATTTATTCACCACTATGATTTTTAGATGATTATTTTCCTTACCAATAATGTTTGTAAATTCATACTCTTATCTTAAATATTATCAAATCTTTTATAATATTAATTGCTAAAATTTAAGATGTCACTTGACAAGGGGCACAGATCATGATATGTTTAGAAAGTGGTGTTTATTATTATAAACCTATGACCTAAAGCAGAGAAGGCGATTGTGGCTAGTTTATAATACCGTTGATAAGTTTATCACATCATCACTAATTCACACCTCACAAACCCAGTTTCGACAGGAAAAATATTGAAAAATGTTTAAAAATGTCAGAAATTTATTTCACCCTGTATATCTTTTCGTGTTTGTGTTCTATTCCAAATTTTTTATTCATCCATATCAATTGTGATTCAAGTAGAAAACATTCAAGGAATTTTTTGATTGACACTTTATTTTATTCGCAATATTTTGAATTAATGGCGACTGTAATATGGAAAATACATTTTTTGTGGCTTATGCTGGAGGCATCAGGAATGTTGCAGATATATTTTGAGAATATATGCAAACAATATTGTAGAAATAATATGCACTATTTAATTGTAATTCGAGATTAGAAAGTATTCCCAAGAACTTCCTTTCGTGCGCTCCAAGAGATAAAAAAAGGAATACTGGAATGCTCACATAGAGTCTACAATACACCACGTGATCTGATTCTGGTGAAAACAATGTGTACTCAGTGTATTACATTCATCCTTCATTCTTTTTTGAAATCTCACCTGTATTCAATATCATGAGAAACATTTCTTAGATATTGCATGTACAATATTGCATGATAATATTGTTAGTGATATTGCAGCAACATTTGAAAAAGCACAAGAACATTTTTTCTGCAATATTTCTAGAACATTGAACATGCCACTGTAATATTGTAAAATTGTGGCAATATTTCGTGCTGTGTGGAACTGTCGAAGCTGAGTGTTGTGATGCTCAAAAACGTTTCTCCACAAATTTTCCAATGAACATATAATTTCACACATAACTCCGAAGATAAAAACACAGTTACAAGACGACATTCAAAGGTCGGATTGCGTATATAACAGGTATATTTATAATTCATCAATATTTAAGCTGATATGTTTGAAGTAGTCCCCGAAATAAGGTCCGATCTCCGATCGATCCGCACCCACCGTACCCAAAAAACTCGCTAGCTCTCTCATTTGAGCTGCAGCAGCCCCCAACAACGGAGGGCTGCTTGGACGGAAACAATACGCAGAACAATCGCCCCCTTTCTATACACCCCCCAGTGCGGGGACGAAATGTTTTTAGTCTGCAATTTTTCGACCAGGGCGTGGAATCGACCGAGCATCCCGGAAAATATGCCCCCCACCAGAAGGGAAATATAGTGGGTGGACCACAGGGATCCGTTCTAGGGCCCTTGATCGAAACTGCACAGTATAAATGATTGGTGTCATCAAGGGCTTGGTATGCTTTGTCCTCCACACACACATTCTCAAAGTTCGTTAGCCACTGAAATAAACTCAGATTGAATAAATCACAGAAACTAGTGACTTCATTCAAATCTGGTTAATGTTGACTGATGATTGTTTTTCAGAATTAAATATATCATGATAAAACTGATTGTTGTTCAATGTTTTCTATAAAGTTTAAGGACTCGATTCGAATACAGTGTCGTTTATAAAGTTGCCATCATATGGAAAACTCTTTTAATAATAATATATTTCAATTTTAACTTCGAAAAAACTTTCGTTAGATACGTGAAGTAGTTCGATGAAATAAATTACGAGACGATACATCAACTTTGCATCAAACAAGAGAAATTTGAAGCGCGGATTATCATTTTCTGAAGAAATTTGGTAGCATGATGAAAAGCTACTGGAATGAAATATTTTTGAAGGTTTCACTTTTTTCTAACATTACAGATATTTCGTAGAAATAAAAAAAATCACTGAAACGTTCAATTATCCGGGAAAAATTTAAGTAAAATTGGAATGGAAACAACTTTTCTCTATAAACTTTTTTGAAATTCAATGAAATAAGTCAATTTTCAGCGAACAATATATAGCGAAAGTCACGAGATTTCGATTTTATTATTTTTGAAAGCGAAACTTAACGCACAAGTCAAATTTCGAAATAAATTATTTATACAAGTTTTTCCCATATAATGCCGACACATTTACATGAGAAAATAAAGCAAAAATCACCTTTTGAAAAACTCTCTAGATATACCTTGATCAATTTATATGCTACTAATTTCCCAAAATAAACTGATCGAAAAAAGTTAAGGGCCTTATTGTTATAAAGATATTTTTTTAGAGAAAATGTAAGTCAAGGATATTGTATTTTTGATGTGAAGACATTTTTCTAGAAAAAAATGTGGTAAATATAGTAGTTATTGATATCGATGTCGTTACCCGTTTGCTTTCAAAAATATCCTTAAAGATTTCCGATCACTTTATTAGCATTCAAAACTAACAGAGAGTATTTTCGGAAATATATTCGAAAGGTATTTCCAATAGTGAAGATAAAGGGTGTTCTTCTTCAAATTCATAACATTTTTCAGGATGGTGAAAATGTGTCTCTCGATAAAGTGTTTAGGGCTATTCAGTACGATTCTGGTGGGGGTAAGTTGGGATTCAACCGGAAATATTTTGTCAATTTCGATGTTTGACCTGAAGGGATATTTTGTCGATTGCACACCCTGGTCATTACCTATTCTGGGAAAAACTATCCCAACCTACGAAATACAACTACAATAATGATAGTAATAGATATATCACATAAACTTCACACGAAAAGCACTACGTCACTATTTGAATATAAACTACTTAGAGAATTACCAATAATGTTCAACATTATACATTTCTTCTTATTTTTTTTTTCGACTGATGATCAGCAGTTAGTATGGATGTAAAAAATTATAAAATTATATAAAAAAATAATACATTAACACTATAAGTTATACTTAATGAAAAATACAACTTGTCTTACAATTAAATAAATATGTTCATATATTAAGATTCACCTTAAACTAAAACTTTGGTTAAGTAATCAACTTTTATGTACCCATACATCGAATCAATTGATTTGGTTTTTCGTCTTAATATTTTTTCTACTTAATTTAGAATCTTGGTACTCAATTGACGGTCATAATAACTATGATTGTGCTAGGTAATCACCATGAAAATTAATGAAATTTATAAAAACGTAGATAATATGACGTCATTAAAACTTGTAACAGAACATATCGGTCAGAAAAAAATATATTTTCATTATTAGTAATATAGGTACATAAGTCCTTGAGAAGGTACAATGAAAACATCAACTTGCAGAATCTAAAAGACATATTATATATTATATTTCTATACGCTACAAACTATAAATTTGTCTAATTAATTATTAACTTTGAGTTTTCAAATTTGCAAGATAACAAATGCTCATAGTACTATCAATGGTATCTATAAGTAAGCAAAAGCTCGTCTATTCATTAATTTCGAGTTATCAAAAATCAATATTTGAAAATAAAGGGTCATTGTTTCTATTTATATATTTTTTCAATATTGGGCAGAGAGTTTCAGCTTTTTTTTCATAGCCTAAACGTTGAATTTTACGCCACTTTCATGACTGGTGTCGCAATGTTATATTTAATGATATGTTTATTAATTGTTTTTTTAGTTCAGCGTTACATATACAACACACAAGTAAAGTGTGTGATTCATTGGTTTATTGCTATTATGTTTTTTCCAAACCGAAATAAGTCGATCATTTTTCCATACATCGACGATACTTGTAAAAAAAAGCTCGACAAAGTCACCGTTTCGTGAAAATTCCGCGAAAAAGCAGTCTCGAAGAATGTTCCCGAAATCGGCAGAAATAGAATAAAATCTAAAACTTAACTTTTAGGGCACCTTTGGTTTAGCTTATCCTCATTTATATAAGAGAGAGAGAGAGAGAAATTAAGTATCCAAGCGATCCTTTTCTGATACTTCTCGCCTACGGGTGACTACGATAGATCATTAGACAGACAGGGCGTCATTCAGTTGTTTTTCAAGCTAGGAATTTTGAATTCCGATCCCTTAAAATCCATATTTTTCATGAAAAACCAATTGACTATCACCGGAAATTGACTTGGGTAAAGATTTTTAAATGGTACCCTGTATATATTTTTGAGGCATTCGATAGAGCCAAAAAAAACCCTTTCAATGACATGTCACAAGTGGACATTTGTGTCCAAAATGGCGGCGGAGACATTGTGTATCAAAAAATCAATATGGCGACACTGTGACGTTATATCGATCGAATTTTTTTCAAGCAACCCGACAAAATAACAAAAAGACGGAACACATTAATTAGTTTTTGATAGCACATGGAAAATGTTGATTCATCGTCAATCAAGATTCCTTTCAGTAATACTTTCAAATTACATTGTTTCTCTTGAATTTTCTCGAAAATTTTCAATAGGAAATATTAGATACTTTTATCAAATTAACATCTAGGTATAGGTCATTATGTACAAATAAATTTTTGACACATTACGTGTGTTGTTTTAATTTTCAATCAAGTCTTTTTTATTAACCCAATCTGAATAAATAATTTCGATTTCCTATTTAAAATTCGACGAAATTCAATGAAAGAATTACAAAAAAGGAATCCTGAATGACGATGAATAAAATTGTTGCTATGTTGAATCAAAAACTAATCAAAGTCCTTCGTCTTTTTGCTATTTTATCAGGTTGCTTAGAAAAAATGTATTGATCGCCATATTGATTTTAGACAAAATCTCTCCTGCGCCGCCATTTTGAAAACAAATGGGCACTTGTGATATATCATTGAAAAGGGTTTTCTATCGTCTATTGAATAAAGTGAAAATATATACAGGATTCCATTCAAAATTATTGACCTGAGTCAATTTCCGGTGAAACCAGAAGATACATCGATTTTTTTTCAAGGAACTGTGTCATCAATCCGAATTTCAAAATTCTAACTTTGAAAACAACTGAATGAAGTCTTGTGCAATGATCTCGTATACTCATCACGCATATCGACTGTCCTCTTCTCCTTTTCTAACCAGTACAAATTACAACAGATAACAGAGAAAGATAAAGTTTTCTGCAGAAAGTGTCCGATAGAGGACGTCCCCTGTACTCTGGACGTTTCAGCAGCAGTATCCAGTCATCACCAGGCTCCTCTGTCAAGTGCTCAGAGGCATGTACGAGTTAAGATTGTCCAGTTTCTTCTCCTTTTGTTCCCTAGAACAGAGATGGCCATACAATAAACATAGATGTTTGTTCAATCTATGCAATGAATTATGTACAGTGTGTCCAGTTTTCGTTGCTGTTGCGTGAAATCTCAGTTATCTTTGAAGATACAACCTTGTGGTTTTCGCTGTGCCACTTTTTGGTGAAACTCAAGATGACCTTATCAGATTTTGCATAACATTTTACGTTTATGAGATACAGGACGATTTTTAAAATTTATACATTTTGGACCCCCTCTATATCTACGAAGTTTCTAAGGGAAAATGCCAAACTGAAACTGAATCCAGTGACTCACTCAATTTTTTTTTTCGGGGAATGGTTTTGCAGATACGACTCTAACTTATTATTTTTCGAATGATATTTTTTAAGGTCATTAAATTCCTTATTTTTTCCCCCTTCAAAATGATATATAGGTGATGCATGAATATGAAATTTTCAAAAATGCTGCATATGAAAAAGTTCCAATTGAAGGAATATTTCTTTCAATTTCTACATGAAGAGGACAAAAACAATACCAACACTGATTAACTGCATATACATAGGTACCTGATAGCAACAAATATAGATAGTAAAGTAAAAAGTTCATAATGTAGAATAAGCACCTGATTGAATATTTACTAAAACAATTGAATCTTGAAATCATTCAGAAACTTATTCATTGAATTCAATGAATGAAACACAATTTACACACTTTCTCAATACGTCTCAATACAGTAAGATGCACAACAATCTTGAAGAACTTCGTGCAACAACAGAGGCAGTTTTTCAGGAATTACAAAGACATCCTTCAATGATTTTGAATGCATTAGGATGTAAAATTGGCATCAATTCGAACAATGCAATGAAAAAGTATTTCAGTAAATATTCAATCAGGTGCTTATTCTATATTATGAATATTTTATTACTATTAATTTGTTGTTATCAGGTACCTATGTTTTGTGTTTTGTTATTTAATTAGTGTTGATATTGTTTTTCTTTGTCCTCTTCATGAAAAAATCAGAAGAATTATTCCTTCAATTGGAACTTTTTTAAATGAAAAATCCATAGCCCACTATTGAAATTCAATGTTTTAGTGATTTTGGAGCATTTTTGAAAATTTCATATATATACATTATATTACATTTTGATGGGGAAAAATGAGCTTATAAAATGCAGGGTGTTCCAATTGAGAAATCATAAGTTTGAGTCGTATCTCCAAAACCATACCCAGAAAAAAAAATTTGAGCGCTCCACTGGATTCTGCATTAAATCTGAGCCATCTTGAGTTGTACAAAAAAGTAGCGAAGGAATGCGAAAACCGCAAGGTTCTATCTCGAAAGATAACTGACACACTGTACAGGACAGAATGGTTGAAAGACAGGAGCAGGACGTGTTACGCTTCATTCTGATAGAGAAATGAGGCAAAATTAGTTCAATTTTTTTTTCATCTGAACTAGGTATCTCAAATGAGCAGTATTCCCAATCCGAATTAGAAAAATGAAGAAACTGATTTAAAAATGTATATACCGAATCTTCCTTCACAAGAAAACTGGCCTCATAAAATTGCTCTTCATGATTTCAAACCCACATATTATTTTGTGATATTTCATAAGATTTCTAAAAACAGGCAGATCTACACAGCGTGCGAACGTAAATACTTATTATTAACTGTTTCAAATTTCATCTCACAAAACACCCGAATTTGCAGCTGTTGATGAGTGCATCGAGTGTTTGAGGTGATCGAGGAAATAATTTTTGTCCACTAGTGCCACATTCGTCCACCAGAGTGAGCAATAAAATCGTCAATACTGCATATACAGGGTGGAGACTTTAACTAGAATAAATTCGCTGAAAAATCGCGAGACACGTCAACGTTCAAATGTTCACATATATTTGGCGAGCAATATGGGGAATATAACCCTTCAGGGGTAGCTGGAATCAACCCCAACATGTTTTTTTCAAATGCACCTATGGCTTGCGACCCCTCATTGTAAAGCTGGTTGAAAGAGGAATCCAGCATACTGATTATATTTCAGTTTGCAGTACGATTGAGGGTCATAAAATCAAAATATAATATCGAAGTTTAATATATTTTCAACGTATTTTCATCAACATGTCAACTTTTAGTGACAGTTATATAGAACATTTCCACCAGTTTGTATTAACACTTCGTTTCGAACTGTGAATATGGCAAAAAAAACTGAAATTCTATTTGCGGCTCTATGAAAATATTGGAATACAATAATAGATAGCAGTTGTGCAAAAAATGTCCATCAATTATTGTTCAACGCACATTTTGAGCGTTAGATACGTTAAACAAAATTGAATTTTGAATTACATTTCAATTTTATGCAACCTTCAAACGTATGAAGAACTAAAATTTGACTAGTGCACTGGATTTCTCCTTCCACCAGCTTTCAATTGAGGGGTCACAAGCCATAGGGTAACATTTGAAAAAATCATGTTGAAGTTGGTTTCAGCTACCCCTAGAGGGATATATTTTCGATATTGCTTGCAAAAATTTGGTAAATACTAAATCGTTGACGTATGTCGGAAATTTTTATAAAAGGTAGTCTCCCTCCCTGCTAACGAATTTATTCCAGATAAAGAGTCCACACTGTATAGTTGTGGTGAGGGAATGGTGGATCGCTTTGACTGATGAATTATGTACGATTCCTGGAACTTTAGAAACAATAAGTGCAGATTCACTATATGCGTACAGGGCGGACTTAGTGATATTGCGCATCTATAAAATATGTGAGAGAAGGCAAAGGGGCATGTTTTTTTCGTCACTTTATTGACAACAGCCCGTTGGATATGGCATGATTCTTATAATAATAATATAATATAATAATATAAATACTATGTTTTACATGTCTTCGTAGCATATAACATTTCGTTATCAGATATCGATCGAAATTTGCAGATGGCTCTCCTACTATTATGTTCGATGCATTCTGACTTGGCACTCTATTTATAAAGTCACTCTATAGTTATAAAGTTCATCTGTTGCTTCACCTATTGGTTGTTAAGGCGATCTGTCATTATTTCCTTGACAGACATGGCCCAACAAACAAGGCCATCCCAGTGAACTATCATTGGCGTAATATTGGCATTGTTCAATGATGAATCTTAAGGATTTGCCCACAAAATTCGAATAACGGATATTCCATAAAATAAAAATATGCCAAGTAACTAAATAGCTAAGAATCTGAAGGGTATCTCCCATGCATTAATGAATTTGCGCCTTCGAAGTGCCCACCTGATGTTAGGTTTAGATATTTGATATTTTCATTTCATCATCTGAATAATCTGAGACTCACGAGTCCCAAAAGACAGATTCCAATAGTTAATATCCGTAAAGAGTATCATGCCTGATTGTTGGATGTTTTGTGTCTCCATATTAATGGTCTGACCAATCAAAAAGTGTACAAATATTGTCCTATATCAAGCAACAAGTCGTCCAGGAACCGTACACGAGATTCGGGCGCGTGCAACAGGTGGCAGTAGGTAGGGGGTCAGGCGGGACCGACCTCTGCAGCCGCCGCCGCCATCTTGCTCTTGGCCCACTCGATGCGGATGGCGCCGCGGTCCGAGGACAGCAGGAAGGAGCCCTGCAGGGCGCTGTGGGCGCGGGCGGCCGCCCCGGCGTCCCTGTACTCGACGAAGGCCACCGGCGACCCGCCCTTCGGGTGCATGCGCAGGCGGCAGAAGCCGGGCAGGCTGTGCACAGATCAACACACAGGTGGAGGGTGGGGGTGCTGCTCAGTGGTGTACGAGGGTGTCCCATTGTGGTCGGGACAGTCAGCGTTATCGGTATTTCTTGAAAATAGAAGCTGCGGTTTTCATGTTCCTGTTCTACTTTTTTTTGTGGAAATCGAGATGGCATAATCAGACGTTGCATAAATGTTTCTGTTCATAATAAGGTACAGTGCGATTATGAAAATTCATACTCTTTATTGGACTCTAGGTATTTATAGTACAGTATGGTGCAAACTGAAGGAATACATTCATTTCTATAGTCAAACTGTCTATTTTTGAGAAATTTCCTGGAACATGTCGATTTTCGTTTTCAATTTCCCACATTTTCAAGTGAAAATTGAATATACAGGGTGATCCACCTTTGACATCTGACGTCCACGACAATTTTATCAAATGGAACACCCTATATCCTTTTTTTTAATTATATCCGAAATGGAGTTTTACTTGAGTGAAGTCATATAACCTGTTTTAGAGATATAATTTCCATATCACTGATACGAATGATTTTTTTGGAAGTTCCAAGCTCAGAGGATTTTGATTTTTCATGCTCTTTTTTTGGATATTCAACAGATATAATTCAATTTTCGACGTGGCAAATAACCAGGAGAGTATTTGTTTCCTGTTGAATATTCAGAATTATATTATATGCATATCATCATATATGAAGGAGAATGCAAATTCTCTACTTCAGAAGATTTTGTTTTCAAATTCTTATCGGGTGTGTTCAATAGATGTAATTCAATGTTCGTCGTGGCATATAGACAGGAAAGTAGTTGTTTTCTGTTGAATAAACCGAGAAAGAATTGATATTTTCATTACATGGAGAATGCGAATTCTCAATGTATTTCTTTATATATAATTATGTACAGTGTCATTCATAAAGTCGACATCATATGGGAAAAACTTTTATTATTGACTTATTTTGGAATTCAAGTTGGACGTCAAGTTTTGCTTCAAAAAAGATCAAAAATGGCCTACTCTATCGGGGTCACGTGACTTTCGCTACATGTCAAAAGTGACATTTTTTCAAATTAATCGCTGAAAGTAGGCTTATTTGTTCGAATATCGAAAAAGTTCACTTGAAAAAGTTGTTTCTATTTCAATTTTACACATGCTTCCCGAATTTGATCTTTCTATTGCAACTTATAGATTTTGATTTTTTTTAATTTTTCGAAATTTCTGTGATATTTAAAGAATTGTTAATTCCACGAAATTTCTTCATACCAGTAGCTTCTTCATGCTACTTATTT